TGATTGCCAACAAGGGTTTTGCCACCAAGTACTAATTCATGTTTTGCAGAAGGGTCAAATACTTATTTCCCTCATTAAATTGCAAATCAATTCATAACATTTTTGACATGCGTTTTTCTGGATTTTTTTGTTGTTATTCTGTCTCTCACTGTTCAAATAAACCTACCATTAAAATTATAGACTGATCATGTCTTTGTCAGTAGGCAACCATACAAAATCAGCAGGGGATCAAATACTTTTTTCCCTCACTGTAAAGGAAGCATCTACTGTACAGTAAGTTGCAACCAGTTTTTTAAGATTAAGATCACTTTATTGGTCAGTTGCACACAAGGTCCAACTGAAATTTGACTTTAACCCAACGTCTCTGAAAGACACACATACACATATATAAACATTTTGGAGAGGTGAGGGGGGGTTGCCTCACTGGGCGGCAGGTTGACGTTTATTGTCATGAATGTTGCCCTGGAGGCAGAACGGAGTGAGTTTCGCTAGATGGGTCAGCTGCAAAGATATTTTGTCTTAAGTTAGCTGTGTGGTTAAGTCAGTGTAAAATCAAATTTCATGACTTTTGGCTATGTCAGCTAGTGACCACTGCAGAGCAGCCTCCAGAACTAAATTCATCATGAAAAACACTAACCTGACACTGGGTGCTGTAGTGGGTTGCTCAAGGGCACCCAATGGCATCAATGATTTGATTCCAGCAACCCTCCAGTTGCCAGTTCACTTCCCACTGGACCTGGAATTTGAACTCGCAACCCTCCGGTTGCTGGTTCGCCTCTTTACGCTAGGCTACGGTCTCTGGTTGCAACTTCAGTTAGCCAAACAGAGCTAAAAGGTTTCCTTGATTATGATTTACCTCTCTCAGACAGTCCTACCTTGCATACGTATTGATAAAACACAGCAAAATATAACAATGATAAGTATTTTATGCCTCCTGACCTTATGCCAAATGTCCCCATGTGTTCAACTGTGGGGTTGTCATGTTGTCTTACCATTTACAAGGACTGGTCAGATAGACAAGGAGTGCCACATTAAGGCTGAGGGACAGGATTATCCAGGGAAAGACTGCAACATCCCTCTTCTCTGACCCAGGGATATCTATGGGAAGTTATACTAATTAATTGGTACGAAAACACTTTGTTTAATTTATCCAACACTATTCTACTTTATCTCTTCTCTTTACCCCACTAGCTAGGTTTCCATCCAATTGGCGACAGATATTAATGTGGAATAAAATATGCAAGTTTCCACCAAACTGACTAGTTGCAGATATACAGTGGGGGAAAAAAGTATTTAGTCAGCCACCAATTGTGCAAGTTCTCCCACTTAAAAAGATGAGAGAGGCCTGTAATTTTCATCATAGGTACACGCCAACTATGACAGACAAATTAAAATCCTGAAAATCACATTGTAGGATTTTTTATGAATTTATTTGCAAATTATGGTGGAAAATAAGTATTTGGTCAACTACAAACAAGCAAGATTTCTGGCTCTCACAGACCTGTAACTTCTTCTTTAAGAGGCTCCTCTGTCCTCCACTCGTTACCTGTATTAATGGCACCTGTTTGAACTTGTTATCAGTATAAAAGACACCTGTCCACAACCTCAAACAGTCACTCTCCAAACTCCACTATGGCCAAGACCAAAGAGCTGTCAAAGGACACCAGAAACAAAATTGTAGACCTGCACCAGGCTGGGAAGACTGAATCTGCAATAGGTAAGCAGCTTGGTTTGAAGAAATCAACTGTGGGAGCAATTATTAGGAAATGGAAGACATACAAGACCACTGATAATCTCCCTCGATCTGGGGCTCCACGCAAGATCTCACCCCGTGGGGTCAAAATTATCACAAGAACGGTGAGTAAAAATCCCAGAACCACACGGGGGGACCTAGTGAATAACCTGCAGAGAGCTGGGACCAAAGTAACAAAGCCTACCATCAGTAACACATTACGCCGCCAGGGACTCAAATCCTGCAGTGCCAGACGTGTCCCCCTCCTTAAGCCAGTACATGTCCAGGCCCATCTGAAGTTTGCTAGAGTGCATTTGGATGATCCAGAAGAGGATTGGGAGAATGTCATATGGTCTTTTTGGTAAAAACTCAACTCGTCGTGTTTGGAGGACAAAGAATGCTGAGTTGCATCCAAAGAACACCATACCTACTGTGAAGCATGGGGGTGGAAACATCATGCTTTGGGGCTGTTTTTCTGCAAAGGGACCAGGACGACTGATCCGTGTAAAGGAAAGAATGAATGGGGCCATGTATCGTGAGATTTTGAGTGAAAACCTCCTTCCATCAGCAAGGGCATTGAAGATGAAACGTGGCTGGGTCTTTCAGCATGACAATGATCCCAAACACACCGCCCGGGCAACGAAGGAGTGGCTTCGTAAAAAGCATTTCAAGGTCCTGGAGTGGCCTAGCCAGTCTCCAGATCTCAACCCCATATAAAATCTTTGGAGGGAGTTGAAAGTCCGTGTTGCCCAGTGACAGCCCCAAAACATCACTGCTCTAGAGGAGATCTGCATGGAGGAATGGGCCAAAATACCAGCAACAGTGTGTGAAAACCTTGTGAAGACTTACAGAAAACGTTTGACCTTTGTCATTGCCAACAAAGGGTATATAACAAAGTATTGAGAAACTTTTGTTATTGACCAAATACTTATTTTCCACCATAATTTGCAAATAAATTGGTCCCCCCTTTGCTGCTATAACAGCCTCCACAACAGCCTCCACTTCTGGGAAGGCTTTCCACTAGATGTTGGAACATTGCTTTCATTCAGCCACAAGAGCATTAGTGAGGTCGGGCACTGATGTTGGGCGATTAGGCCTGGTTCGCAGTCGGCGGTCCAATTCGGCGGTCCAATTCATCCCAAAGTTGTTCGATGGAGCTATGACTTACAATAGCTAGAATAACTCTACTAGGCTTTTAGGTACCAATTGGTGGCTGACTAAATCTCTAGTTTGGGGCATGCTGAAGAGAGACTTCGGAAGGCATTTGCAGGAGTATCCACCAGGTTGAGGCTCATGCCACCAGAAATTCAGCCAAAATGAAGCCATATCCAGAATCCCTTATAAAAGTCACGATAACATGTATTGTAAAAATCAGTTTGTTCTACTGTCCCTTCTGCAGAATGAGGCCTGCTTAGGAGACCTGTACTTAACACCACTTTTTCAACAGCAGCAACACATATATTTCAAGGAACATGGTGTAGAGTTTAAAGTATTTAAAGAAAGTAAAACCCCACCTAACAAATATAGCAAGGCCTTAGCACTTTAACACAGTCTCAAAGTGGGAAGAGGAACTAAACTACAGCCCACATAGTGTTGTGAGCTTTAGTCAAATTCTGTGAAGATGCACTAACAGGTCTGGTTAAAATACAATACAAATGTAATGGGAAACTGAGTTGAATACTAAGAAGGCATAATGGCTTTTACAGTAATATTGTTTTTAGATAAATTACAGATAGTTCCCTGTATGTACAGTAATGGTAATTTATGTTGATCTTTGACTACATGCATTTCCATTACAACTACACAAATTGACACTGAAATTAATCTGACAGTTTACACATTACTGATACTTTATCAGGCATTGTTGAAACCAATTTCTTCCACTTCAGGCTGTGATCAGTTGCATTATTATCATTACTTCTTGTCATCACTCTTCAAAAGTGGGTCTGATATGTCTGTATAAGTGAAAGATTGTGGACGGAAACAAATAGTCTGTCCTTGGTTGCAACACTAACTACTGAGTTCCAAACTGCCTCTGGAAGCAACGTCAGCACAAAAACTGTTCTTCGGGAGCTTCATGAAATGTTTTCAATGGCCGAGCAGCTGCACACAAGCCTAAGATCACCATGCGCAACACCAAGCATAGGCTGGAGTGGTGTAAAGCTTGCCACCATTAGACTCTGGAGCATTGGAAAAATGTGTTCTCTGGAGTGAAGAATCACAAATCTGGGTTATACACCATATTATACACATGTACATGTTACAAACAGCCAATCTTGAAATATGCACGTATTTTCTTATAGAAATCTTATAGAAATGTTTGCAGTGTGTGTTGGGATTGCAGTGTGTGTTGGGAATGCAGTGTGTGTTTGGAATGCAGTGTGTGTTGGGATTTCAGTGTGTGTTGGGATTGCAGTCTGTGTTGGGAATGCAGTGTATGTTGGGAATGCAGAGTATGTTGGGATTGCAGTGTGTGTCTCAGTTGGTAGAGCATGGTGCTTGCAATGCCAGGGTTGTGGGTTTGATTCCCACGGGGGACCAATACAGAAAACATTTATTGACTCACTACTGGAAGTCGCTCTGGATAAGAGCATCTCCTAAATGACTAAAATGTAAATGTTAACCAAGGTGGTTTACTGGGTTGGTTGATTATGGTCTATATACAGTACAGTATGGCTGGACGGTAAACAGTACAGAGGGACTTCCTGGATTGTAGCACCAGGAAAGAGAGAGGAGTAAGAGACTGGGGACATGAAGTGACAGTTCACACCCATTAGAGTCTCACACAGGGCTCCTGATCAAGAAGAGGAGAAAGCACACAGAGAGGTAATGTGCTGATTAAGTCTACTTTTCTGCATGGATCGAAAGACAAGCTATTTAACCATTATATAGTTTTGTCTCGTTACATTGAATGACTGTTAAAACTTGATTATGACTACGTAATGTAATGTTAATGTTCTATTAATCATTTAGGGCATTGCAACCCATTGCTTCATAAGGCTTTATATAGCCTAGGCATAATTATTTATGAATGTGGTTAAAGATATTTATGAGCAGATATTAACGCCTATGTCGGGCATTATAATACATTATATGGAGTCACTCATAAGGAGTTGTTATTATCACAACACCATTTAATATTTTAGTTCACACTTATCTTGTGCTCCAGACCAGTAGACACAGACAGAGATAGTGACCATACAGAAAGAGGAGAAAGAGGAGAGAGACCCCAGTGCTGTGGTTGATTCATCGAGGCAGTAGAGGCAGGATGTGGGTCCTCATCTGGGCAGCTCTACTTCTCTCTCTGACAGAGAGAACCACATGCAACAGTAAGGTCCCTTTTATCACTACTATTGGTAATGTAATAATCATTAGTAGATGTGGTAGTAGTAGTGGTATGGCAAATATCTCAATAGATACTATATCATACAAATGTTACGAACAAGTGAAGTAGTATCCAAGTGCTTTCTGCATTACTCATGGCTGTATTAATTTCCCTCCATCAGAACAGCCACCACCACCACCACCACCAGCATCACCCTGGACCATCACCTTCAGTCCAGCAGAGATAACAGCAGAGATGGGACTATGTGCTGTTATTTCATGTACCTTCAGTCATGCAGAGAACTTCAATCCTACTGCAGCAATATGGTTTAAATGCTCTAAAAATGGCAAATGTGATCAGGATGAAAACATAATTATCCACTCTGAAACTCCCTCTAAAGCTCAGGAGGGTTACAGAAAGAGAGTGTCTCTACTGGAGACTGATCTGACAAAGAAGAACTGTAGTGTAATCATCAACAACATCAGAAAGAATGATGCTGGAGAGTATCAGTTCAGACTGCTAAGTGCATATACATACTCCAAGAAAGTGAAAATCACAGTGAGAGGTATTTCATGACTATTATTGTCAGTTACAGTGACAGACTATTACTGTAGTTCATTGTATACAGTACACACTTGCCAAGTTCCCTCTCAAGATGTCATTACTGGGAAGACTCCTATTCAGACTTAGCACATCAATGCTGCTCTCCTTTGGCTGATTATGTGTCACTGCTGTTTAGTACACATATGTAAAACTCACTTCTGTGTTTGTATTTCCTGTCTCCAGCTCTGACCCAGAAGCCCTCAGTGTTGACTCCTCCTCTGACAGAGGGAGAACCAGCTACTCTGACCTGCACTGCCCCGAGGATCTGCTCTGGAACTCCTCCTAACATCACATGGACATGGAGAGGGACAGGAGACAACATCACTGAGCTCAGAGACAATACCACCATACAGAAGAGAGAGGACCTGACCAGCATCACAACATCCCACTTCTCAACTTTGACCTTTACCCCCTCAGCTGAGCACCACAACATGAAGGTTACGTGTCAAGTAACCTTTCAGAAAAAACATCAAATTGAAGAGACAGTAACTTTGAATGTGACATGTGAGTACCATGTCACCTACATTTTACATTAAACACCTTATTCCAGAAAATCTTTGAAACCTAGGAATAACCTTGATAACAAGCAGATGATACAATATGCAGGCTATACGCAGTTATGTCATGGCTTTGACCTTTTCCCTTGCTTTTTAATCATGATCCATTGTAATTAGTCCCTCAACCAATATAGTTTGAATTTAGTGTATGTGTAACAATACATGTGTAAAATTAGAAACTCTATGCACTAAAGATGTGAAAGACCCCCAAATAACTGGAAATAAAATAGTGAAGGAGGATGGTACCCTGGATCTGACCTGTAATGTTGACAGTTACCCACCATCTGACATCACATGGAGTAAGAAAAGGACAAGTGCCCCACTTCAGAATTACACTGAAAAGGCCACTCTCACCATCTCCAATGTGACAAGAGAACATGCTGGGGAGTATGTGTGTACAGCGCAACACCTCAACAGGACTATGACAGCTTCCACTGTTGTCACTGTGATGTGTAAGTACAAACAGTACAAACTTGATTGAAATATACAAACTCATTTCATATTTTAAGATCTGGAATTGTTTTTAGCATCAATCTATCACTGATCTCTCTCTCTTCACTGTCTTTTCCAGACCATCCTGTGATTCTTCCTGGCTCTGGGTGTGTGGATCAGGCAGAGGTCATGACCTGTGTGTGTGTCAGTCAGGGGGTTCCCTTACCCCTCATAGAGTGGCCACTGCTGGAGCTCAACACAGAGAAGTACAGCCTCACTACATCAGTGTTCGGGTCCTCAGTGAACAGCACCATCTGCCTGCCTGTTAGAAACCACACCAACAACACCAGTGTGGAGTGTGTCAGCAGAAATACTGTGGGTGTAGTGAGAGGGAAGTTGCAGGAAACGCAAGAAGGAAGGAAACAGAGAGGTGCTATAATTTAAAGAAAAATCATGCAGATATTTTTTCCCGTAGACAGTATTAACTTGGCACAGATTGCAATTGTATTGTGTCAAGGTTGTGGTGTGGTTATTACATGAGGTCTAAGATTGCTCTAATGACACTGTTTCTCTCTTCATCAATTGTAGATCTTTCTGAAGGATGTGGGAATGCAGTTCTCCCCTGGACCATAGCTGGTGTGTCTCTCAGTGTGACTGTTGCCATCCTCATCTACCTGTCTTCAAATGCTTACATACGGTAGGATCCTTTTCACTTATTGCACAATAGAGACAAAATTATGTAGAATATAGAAGTATTTTTACATGAAAAGGAAACTTTATTTCTCAAAGTATCTGTTGTAAGCCCAGACACTGTCTGATAAGATGCTTGCTATAGGCCTAGATTTACTTTTTCTGAGTGCTAGAAGTAACTTAACCCTTCCACTTGTTTTTTTCTTGTGGTTCTCAAAGGATGCAAGGTATGAATGGGAAGCCAAAAGAAGAGGAGAGCACCTACATCTCATTGGATAAAAAAGACATGTCTCAGGAAGAGTATGAGGTCATTGCCAGGCGTCCAAGATGATTGAGCACCTGTTCTTCCCCCCCCCCACTCTTAAGCTTATGCTGAGATAATTTTCATGTGAAATAATTCACACTTTTCTTCTTAGTAAAGTTTCAGATTTGTATGCATTAAATGAAAAATTTAAGAGGCATACTTTTTAATCATAAAAATTATTTTGAATTTCATGGAAAAGCGCACAAGTACTGTATGATAAGTGAATGAAAAAGTCCATAAGTTTTTCTATTTTTACTTTAGATAAACTATGTGAATAAAATATGGAGATATTATGATTCTATGCACTCCGCACTACCGTCCTGAAACTGTACATTTGCTCATTGCACTCTGTACATTGCTGTAGATTCCTGTAGATTCCTTCACCTGCCAATTTGCACTCTGCCACTGGGACATTCTCTGACTTCAATGTATGTATTTCCATTCCATATTGTGGTGAAAAAAAGATGTGTGATGTAGTTACTGTAAACAATGGAGAGGTAGCTTAAGATTAACTGTTAATTAAGTAATGGAGAAACTGTATAAAATAATATATATATATATATATATATATATATATATATATATATATATATTGCTATTTCTTCCTTACAATTTTGGAGATGTGTTGAGAATACAGATTACAAACTTGCCACATTTACTGTTGTATTCTTCATTTATTGTTGCTTGGAATCTAAGAAAGTTGTATTTTGAAAGGATTAATCACCAGGCCATCAGACATTTAGAACATCCAAAGAGAAGACGTATCCAGAGACCTTAATAATAGTAATGAATATTGTAAAGAAAATATACAACTATAATGTCCATGTGGAGGCATGAGGCCTGTTCTGATCGGAACATTTTCTAACAGCAGCAACACATATTTTAGGGATTATAGTTCAAATGTAAGTATTTAGAAGTAAAAACCCACCTATACAAATATAGTAAGGGTGGGGGCACTTAAACACAGTCTTATGTATGAAGAGGAACTTAACTGCGGTCCACAGTGTTGTAAAAGCTGTGGTCAAACTCAGTATGGCTATCAGATCTTGTTAAAGTAAAAAACGTCATGGGAAACTGAGCTGAAGACCAAGAAGGCATAATGGCTTTTACAGTAATATTGTTTTTAGATAAATTACAGATAGTTCTCTGTATGTACAGTAGTGGTAAATTATGTTGATCTATGACTACATGCACTTCCATTACAACTAACTTCACAAAATGACACTGACATTCCCACGGGGGGCCAGTATGAAAAATGTATGCACTCACTAACTGTAAGTCGCTCTGGATAAAAGTGTCTGCTAAATGACTAAAATGTAAAATGTAAAATGTAAATTCATCAGCACCAGGTTAGAGGGAGGAGTAACAGACTGGGGACAGGAAGTGACAGTTTACCTCTCTCTCAGTGTGCTCTCTCCCCCTGTTGACTGTGAACCCTGTATGTGTCTCTGATGGGTGTGATGTGCTGATTCAGTCTTATTCTCTGCATGGCTCAAAAAACTGTTAAAGTACTTGGGAAAAATTGGCAACTCTCTGGACATCACTTGCAATTATTTAACAAAGCTAGTAACTCCTTTGTCATTGGTAGAAACAATTGTTACTTTTTTGTTTTTTACAATGAAACTCTATGAGGACTTCGGTAAAAAGTATGTAATTAGTCTGTTACCATGTGGTTTCTAAATAAATTACAGACAACTAGCGTAAAATAAAGCATTACTAGGACTTTGACATCTTCTCTCCTTGTATTAAATTACAGTTGAAAAAATGTGCTAAGAAGGTTGTAACAATCATAAACGTTTCATGAAACTGTCACGCCCTGACTCAAGGGACTCGTATTTGTTGAGTCAGGGTGTGTATTTTTGTGTTGTGTTTTGCTATGTTGATTTTCTATGTTTAGATCTAGTATGTGTAGATCTATGTTGGCCGGTGTGGTTCCCAATCAGAGGCAGCTGTAGCTCGTTGTCTCTGATTGGGGACCATACTTAGGCGACCTATTGGCACTAGTGGGTTGTGGGATCTTGTTCCGTGTTATGGTATGTTTGGGTGCTACCTTGGACTTCACGTTTCGTTTGTTGTTTTTGTTGTGTGTTTATTCGTTTAAATAAACATGTATGCTTATCACGCTGCGCCTTGGTCTGACCCGTGTGTAAACGAATGTGACAGAAGATCCCACCAAACGAGGACCAAGCAGCGTGCCCAGGAAGAGCGTATAGCGATGTCACAGGTGGGCAAATGGTGGTCATGGGAGGAGATATTTGCGGGGAAAGGGCCATGGGCGAAGGTAAATGCCCAGGCAGGAGAGGAGAAACGGCGCCAACCGTGCCGACGACGGACACCCGAGAGGCAACCCCAAGAACATATTTTTTTGGGGGGGGCACACGGTGTGGACGACGAGGCAGCAGGAGGCAGCGACAGGGCGGATCTGCAGGTTAGGAGAGGAGGCCACCAGGTTACGGGGGCTATTGGTTCAGAGGGAGCAGGAGTTATACGGTCAGAGGGAGGAGCTACAGGAGGCTAAAAGGGAGAAGGAAGGTGTAGAGGCACGGCGAGAGGAGCTGGTTAGGCAGAAGAAGGAGCGGGGGTTTATAAAGGAACCCAGTCCCGCTCCTCCCACCAAGCAAGTGGTGCGTGTCGCCAGTCCGGTCCTGCCCGTTCCTGCTCTCCGCACTAAGCCAGTGGTGTGTGTTCCCAGTACGGCCCGACCCGTTCGTGCTCCCCGCACTAAGCCAGTGGTGTGTGTTCCCAGTACGGTCCGGCCCGTTCCTGCTCCTCGCATCAAGCCAGTGGTGCGCGTTGCCAGCCTGGTCTGTTCCTGTCCCTCGCACCAAGCCAGTGGTGTGCGTCGCCAGCCCAGTCCGGCCTGTTCCTATCCCTCGCACCAAACCAGTGGTGCGCGTCACCAGCCCGGCCCGGCCTGTTCCTGCCCCTCGCACCAAGCCAGTGGTGTGCGTCGCCAGCCCGGCCCGGCCTGTTGCTGTCCCTCGCACCAAGCCAGTGGTGCGCGTCGCCAGCCCGGCCCGGCCTGTTCCTGTCCCTCGCACCAAGCCAGTGGTGCGCTTCACCAGCCCGGCCTGGCCTGTTCCTGCCTCTCGCACCAAGCCAGTGGTGCGCGTTCGCCAGCCCGGCCCGGCCCCTTCCTGCTCCCCGCACCAAGCCAGTGGTGCGTGTGTCCAGTCCGGCATGGCCCGTGCCTGTTCCACCGGTGCCTGGTCCGGCACCGGTCAGCTGCTCCACTCTGGAGCCAGAGCAATCCGCTCCACTAGGGTCCAGTCCAGCTACGGTCAGCGGCTCTACTCCGGAGCCAGAGCAATCCGCTCCACCGGGATCCGGTCCAACTCCGGTCAGCGGATCCACTCCGGAGCCAGAGCAATCCGCTCCACCAGGGTCCAGTCCAGCTCCGGTCAGCCGCTCCACTCCGGAGCCAGAGCAGTCGGCTCCACCGGTGCCTGATCCAGCTCCGGTCAGCGGCTCCACTCCGGAGCCAGAGCAGTTCGATTCACCGTCGTCGGGTCCAGCTCCAGTCAGCGGTTCCAGTCCAGACCCAGACGTCAGCCCCTCTCCAGGTTCGGGGTCTCCCACACCAGGGTCCAGACAGTGCTTGGTACGTCGTGGGAGGAAGGAGAGGGGAAGCAGCGCGCCGAGGTCCAGACCAGACCAGGGGCGCAGTAGGGAGGTGGAGAGTAAGTGGTGGTCACCCGGCCCCTACCCTGTTATGTTTATGTGGCGTGGTCGGAGTCCGCACCTTTAGGGGGGGGGGGGGGGGGGGGGGGGGGGGGGGGGGGGGGGGGGGGTACTGTCACGCCCTGACTCAAGGGACTCGTATTTGTTGAGTCAGGGTGTGTATTTTTGTGTTGTGTTTTGCTATGTTGATTTTCTATGTTTAGATCTAGTATGTGTAGATCTATGTTGGCCGGTGTGGTTCCCAATCAGAGGCAGCTGTAGCTCGTTGTCTCTGATTGGGGACAATACTTAGGCAGCCTATTGGCACTAGTGGGTTGTGGGATCTTGTTCCGTGTTATGGTATGTTTGGGTGCTACCTTGGACTTCACGTTTCGTTTGTTGTTTTTGTCGTGTGTTTATTCGTTTAAATAAACATGTATGCTTATCACGCTGCGCCTTGGTCTGACCCGTGTGTAAACGAACGTGACAGAAACGGTCATGTCAGATGTTATGAATGCCTATGTATTCCCCTTACACAGCTGGTAATGGGATGTGTAGTTATTATTATAACACTATTTATCAGATTATTCGATACTCTCTCTGTGCTCCAGACCTGTGGACACAGACAAGGGGACCAGAGAAAGAAATGAAAGAGGACAGACCCTGGTGTTGTGGTTGATTCATCGAGGCAGTGGAGGCAGGACGTGGGTCCTCATCTGCACAGCTCTACTCTTCTCTCTGACAGAGAGAGCAACATGTCAAAGTAGGGTCCCTTTCATCATTAAAGTATTGTTAATATTGAAATCATTAGTAGTTGTAAAGATGTGGTATTCGTAGTGGTATGGCAATTAAAACCCATTTTCATCTAAACTGATACTGTATCATCAAAAATGCTATGGACGAGTGAAGTAATATCCAAATGCTTCCTGCATTACTCATGACTCTATTAATTTAATAATAATAAGTAATATGCCATTTAGCAGACGCTGTTATCCAAAGCGACTTACAGTCATGCGTGCATACATTTTTTTGTGTATGGGTGGCCCCAGGGATCGAACCCACTACCTTGGCGTTACAAGCGCCGTGCTCTACCAGCTGAGCTAAGGCCCCTCCAGCAGCATCTCCAGCAGCTGCAAACACATAGAGCATCACCTTTAGCCCAGAGAAAATAACAGCACAGACTGGCCTATGTGCTGTTATTTCATGTACTTTCACTCACCCTGATCACGTCAAGCTTAGAACAACAATATGGTTCAAATGCCATACAAATGGCAAATGTGATAAAGGTAAAGACATCGTTTTTCACTACAATTCTTTTTTTCTTTTCAGACAAGTTGAGGCAGAGGGCTGTCGAGCTGTCTGGGATTGCTTGGGCTCCCTCTAGTGAACATTACTACTATTACGACCACCAAGCTGAAGAATCAGACATTTTCTGTCTTGGCTACTTTTCCCTCATTTTGCAATTCAAGGTGATACTCAGTCATTTCTAACATCTTTTTACACACAATCTTCTTGACATATGTCATTGTTGCCTGAAATAAAAGCAACATAGGTTCATTAGAATATGTTTAAAACCATTGCGGTTATATGTTGTTAGCGGTTGATGTTATTTTTCAATAACACAGACCCCAAAGCAAATCAGGGGGAGAAAAATATATTTATTCAAAGAGAATAGTAGTTATGCTGGGAAGTAGATGGTAGATGTTCATTCTTCCCTGTTCTCAATGTTTCTCCACAGAACAAAGAGACAGGATGTAATTTATAGCCTCAAGCCTATTATGTGGCTGACCAATTAGAATTCCTTGCAATAGAATTTGGCTACTGACCAAACCCCCAAGTATCCTGTTGCAGGCTCAAAGTATAGACCATTTGGACCAATGAAAACTTGCCCATGTAGCTATGAATCCCTGGTTGGAACCCCTACAAAGATTCTAAACAGATGTTGAACTGAAAAACGACTATTTCCATTGATCGTTAATTCCCTCTTAACCTCTAGTCCTCTATTGACCACTAGTCCTCTTGACTAGGGGTCCTCTGTAGCTCAGCTGGTAGAGCATGCCGCTTGTAACGCCAAGGTAGTGGGTTCAGTCCCCAGGACCACCCATACACAAACAAAAAAAAGATGTATGCACGCATGACTGTAAATCGCTTTGGATTAAAGCGTCTGCTAAATGGCATATTATATTATTGACCACTAGTCCTCTTGACCACTTGTACTCTGCGTTGTGTATATTTAGCTTTGAATATTCTTACAATGTCACCACTACTGACATTAGTTATATGTCACAACAGGTGATATTTTACTTATGTCACTATAATGGCATATTCAATATATATCACATAGCATGGGGCTCCATTGGTCCAGAACAGAATGGTAAAGTGTGAAGTAGTTGATGTGTAATTGATGTCTGATGTCTGTTGCAGAGGTCTCTGGTTCAGGGTTAAATAGACACCGTGTGGTGTTTGGAGCTGCTTCTGCCGCTGTTGCTAATCATCAAAGGTAAAACTTATGTTTCTTATTCCCTCTTGTCAGTGTGAATAACTACTCAATTACACCACAATAACTCAGACTGTGGAAATTCCCTTCAAGACTACAGATGTAATACTAGAAATGCAGTAATCTAGATATGCAATTGCAATGTAAAACTGATTTGGTGGTTTTACTGCATTGACCCAATTGATTTTAGAGTGTGTCAAACTTACAGCAAACAATACTAAAGCAAAAGGGTACAGAGTAGACACAGGGTCCAACTGGCACACATGGCTCAACCTTGTCCCTCTCACTTAAACAGTGGTGCCAGTGGTAAGAGTGAGACATATGCTTCCTCCACATAGGGTCTCTGCTCTTACCAGCTCACCCAGGGAGAACCTCATGATATCATCCTCTGTTCTCTCTCTCGCTTTGTCTCTCTCTGTTCATCTTTTCTCAGTGATTCCATTTGAAACTGTATATGTAGTGTAGATTGATTGTTCATTGATATACAGTTTCGCTCTCAATATCCCCATTTCCAATCTCCCCTCCCTCTCCCTCATTCCCTCTCTCAGATGTCAGTGGCCAGTGAAATGTATGGGTACCAAGGGACATCTCGGCCATGACCAAGTCCTGCGTGGTCATCCCCTTCAGATTCATGTTTCCGGCAATACTGTGGCATCCACGGCATCTGGTACTTTTGCCAGCCATACCCACCTGTGGTGCTCTTCCCACCTGTGGTGTTCAAGACATTGTGCATGAAAGTTACAAAGGGCGTACCAAGCTCATAGGGGACCTGCAGCAGAGGAACTGCACCCTGCTCATCAGTAATATAGGTACAGAGCACTCAGGGAGGTACTACTTCCGTGCCGACCTGGACACGTGCCAACATCTACACCTACCCAGACTTCTCTGAGCTCAAGGTGCTGGGTAAGCCTGTTTAAAAAAAATAAAAAATGTTTACGATAGTTTACAATCGTAGGTGTCACATTTATGGGCTGGATAGCCATAGCCTGGTACCATATCTGTTGTGATGTCTTGCCAACTGCTGTGGACACTGTTTGGCATTACATGGCCTGACAATGACAATAGGAGTTGGCAAGCACAAATAGATCTGCGACCAGGCTAGGATTGACCTAGCTGTGATTATAATTATTATAGTTTTAATGAGACTAGGTAAATATTGTGAATTGGTGAATTTTAACTCGTTCACTTATGTCCTCTCTGTCCCCCAGACCAGCCCAGCATTGACATCCCTGAGGAGATAGTCGCTTACGAGAAACTGGAGTTGACGTGCTATAATACACACAAATGTCCAGAGAATAGCCCAGAGATCCAATGGATGTACACAGACTACCTGCCTGAACCCGAGAATACCTCAGACTTCGTGGAAGAGAGCAACACAACCGTACTGACCAGCCCGCTCACCTTCACCCCCAGGGGGTCTACTACCCCAACACCACCCTGGTCTACGAGAGACTCATCTCTCTGGACGTGAAGTGTAAATGACCAACTGACCGTTTTCAACGAACCTGTAGGTTGAATCCTAAAATTCTGTGAGAAATGTGTCATTTGGACACAACAGGGGACACATTATGTAATGTGGGGGATTGTATAAATATAGAATAACTAATCCTGACTACTACACCAAATGTAATAGTAGCAGTGTTACATATATTTATGATGCACACATTTTAGAACCATTGTCAATATCTACAGTCATCCATTATTCTCCATCTACAGTAGAAGGATAGCAGCTTGATTTAGCAATAAATTGCATGATTATGACATGCATAGGGTATGTTAGCCTGTCATCCAAACCTGTTTTTCTACGTTTCACCTTTGTTTTTCTTTGAGAAAATGATGAGTGCAGCATTGGGTCTGGTTTAACCAGGTTATACACTTGTCACTTTTACAAGTCTAACCCCACCTTCCCCTTCCTCTCACCCCAGATGCCCCTCGCTCGGTGTGGGTGAACGTATCCACGGAGGTGATGGAGGGCAGCTCGGTGACGCTGCAATGTGAGGTGGACAGTAACCCTCCTCCCAGGATCTCCTGGCTGTTTGGGGACCAGGATCTGCTGTGGGACACGGCCTCCAATGCCTCGCTCTCCCTGGAAGACTTAACCCCCGCTCAGGATGGCATCTACACCTGCGTGGGGCATAACGGCAACAGCGTCATGAAAAATAGTTACATTTAACCATTGTAGTTATATGTCAACCAAGCTGACATTTTAGTTTATGTGACTTGCGGTGACATATTTCTTATAAGTAGTGACACGATATATATACTGTATAATGACGTATTAGTAATGTGATAAACCTGGCCCATAGCTTCTTGCTCTTGTTTATACACAGTACGTTTTATCGTCTTTAACGTACTCCATTGTTCAACTCCTTTCATTCTCCTCATATCGCTCTACATTTTATCCCTTCTATGTCCTCCCTGCAGACCCTCCTAGTGAGCCAATGGCTCCCTGACCATTTTGGAAGGTTCCTCCATCTCCCTGCAATGTAGCACCCAAGGCAATCCTGCACCCACCCTCACCTGGCTTAAGGACGGGGAGCTGGTGGGCACCATCACTGCTGAGGAGGTGTCTGTGCTGGAGCTTCTGGAGCTTACCACTCAGGGAGACGGACAGTACCGCTGCCTGGCAGAGAACGAACACGGACGAGACAGCAGCTCACCCCAACATCACTGTGGATTGTGAGTGGGTCTTCAAATCATGTAATGTTGTATCATATCGTATCATATCATATGGGAGGGTATCATATCATATCGTATTGTACCACACTACGCTACACCACACTACACCATCCTATCCCACTCTACATATCAGTCATACCCCTACCTCCACCCTCTCTTCAGACGCCCCTGTCTTTCTGGAAGTGTCCAAGTGCACAGTGGTGAGGGAGGGAGTCCAGTATGTTTGCATGGCTACAGGCAACCCTGAGCCCACCATCGAGTTCTACCTCCCCGACAAGAACATCACCATCAACGACACGGACGGGTGCTACAACTACTACACGCACACGGACGGCCACACATCCACGGGCATGATCAAGCTACGGGTGAAGGGTGAGCGTCTGGGCAACAGCGCCGTTAATGTGCACTGCAGCAACATGTACGGGTCGGAGAGCTTTCATCTGGAGTTGCATCAGGAGAGTAAGTACACAAGTTCAGGTTTATGGTTAAACAAAGAAACAAATAGCATACCATTAAAATGCTAAACATTGTATAGCCGAGCATACATGAGAGACTGAACTGAAATGAGAAGTGTAGTACCTTTATATGATATCTAGATTGACTGTATAAGTAAGACCACAAACTGGATAGCCCATTGGCTTGATATGGTAATGGCATTATCTTGAATGTAAATAAGTTATATTTTAGTACCATGACCTAGCGAAACAGTATTTTCTGTTTCTTCACTATCTTCAATATAATGTTTTTGTCCGATGTTAGAGAAGTACCTGATGGCAGTGTTCATTGGCACCATCGGTGGAGTGGCTGTCATCGCCTTCATCATCGCAGCAGTGAGATATGTGGGCCATAACAACAAGAAGTGAGTATCCACCCTTCACTAACTGTGACAGGGGTCGATGTGAGTTACAGGTAGTCATTTCCTGTTTGAATTGACGATAAGGAAAGACTTCAGCCTAGCCATCCATTCTAAAACACCTCTGTGTATTCATGAGTGAATGATTGATCGATGGACGGATGTGAGAATCATGGTCAGAAGTTATGCTAATGCCAGAGCGAGTTCAATTAATTTGCCGTCATTAGTCCCCTTTCTGAAATCCTCTGAGACGGAGATCCAAAATGGCTGCCTGGTGGAGTGGTGTTAGCAAGCCAGACTAACCGTAGCCTATAGTTTGCAGGCTCTTTTCCCTGCTTTGATACTGCTTTGTATCCTTGACATGCTATACTAACAATACAGCCACGGTAGCCTACTTAACTAAGGTGCTTCAGCATTATAGCAATACATCACATTCTGACAAAAGCTTTTACAGAATGTTGCTCCAAGAGACGGTGTCAGCTCAACCGCAACTAAACCCTTGAAACAATAACCACAACCATGAATGTCACCCACAACCGTGAACCACAGGCCTGGAGATTATTAACTACGTTGAGAAACAGGCCCTTGTTTTAAAATGGATGCCCAGGCTTGGAGTGTCGTCCTGAGTTAGTTAGTTAGTGGCCATGAGACCGAGTCTGATCTTGTGACTCCACCCCCCAGAGCGAATGGCAACACTGGGCAGGTCCTGGTGTCTAAACTGGAGAACCCAGTGTTGTACTACAGCAGAGTCAAGAAGGACAAACAATGTTTGAGGAAGAAAGTGGTGAGACATGTTGATGATGATGATAATGATGATAATGACCATTCTCTGTCATGAACCCTGCATCCTGAGTCGGTTCCTGCCTGTGTTGTCATTTTCTGCTCGGAATCTCCAGTTTCCTGAGGGTTCTGGAACGCTCCCTGCCTGGTTGCCGGGCGACGTTGCTAGGCGGGAGCTCTCCTGATTAACCGCACCTGCATCCCATCAGCGATCTGCACACCTGGTCCTGATCATCACCCTTTTTAAACTCTGACCTGACATCCATTCCCTGCCGGATCGTTAGCCATGAACAGTATGTTTATCAGTGTATCAGCCTTAGAGCTTCTAGCGTTAGTTTTGTTGTTTTGCACCTTGTTGGCTTGCTGTGTACTTACCTCCGTTTTGTTCTATCTGCAGTCACTCACCCGGAACCTTCACCCAACCCCTGCCTGGTGGTCGGCGGCTGCCGAGCCATTATTGGACCTGCCACTGCACCCCCACCAACTCATCTCCGCCGCCCGCTCTGTTCCCTGGATTATTCAGCATTGCTTTTGAATCTGTTAAATAAACACTCACCTTCGTTTCAACTCACCTTGTCCTGGTCTGCTTCTGGGTTCTGGCTTTGTAACCCGTGACATTCTCAGATCTGTCTTAGACGGGAGAATGATAGCTGACCCGTTGCTGATGCTGATACTATACTATACCCGTTCAATTCATGTCCGTTTTTTGATAAATGATCAAAAACCTATATGTCCTCTTATGTTAAAGAGAAAATGTAAACTTCCCCAGCCAACTACTGACCTAGCCTGAGAGTCCCAGTACCACTATAGCTATCTATCACAGTACCACTGGAGTAGCTGCGACCATAGCCTTTCCAAACCACTGTTTTCTACTTCATCGCTTCTCTGCGTTCTTCTGTCTCTGTTTCTCTTCCCTAACTCTTGCACAGCTTAAGACAGAGCTTCTGGGCTCAAAGTTTACCTCCATTCTAGAGGAGAGTACGGTAAGGTTCCTAAACAACCCCACCCCAATCCCAACTCCAGTTCTCAGTGGTAGACAGCATCCCTCACTCATCCCAGACAGCAAAATGATATGATGGCCCAAATTCTGCCCTAATCTACAATATTAAGACTTACCATTTGGCCCAGTTAACCACTTGGTGTTACGGTCCTGAACTGGATCCTTAACATGAAATGTCCAGACCTTGTCTGGCAAGGTTGATGTGGTCCACATTCAGACCTAAAGTTGCCCAGTAACTATGGGAAGTTGTTAGTGCCACATAACTCAAGACAGAGATGGGCCATAAGCAAAGTAACAACCCTCCCCCAGTTCGAATCTCCTACATTCGGACCAGATCTGGGCCATATGATGCATTGTGGAGCCAGAACTGAGCCATACTGTATGTGTCACCAAACAACCAGATCTGGCCCACAGTCGTCTGCTGTCTGAGATCCGCTTCTATGTGCTGTATTGCCTTTGATTTCCACAACTGCTTTTGCATGGCTGCCTCGATACTAACAGGATATGTTAAAACCGCCTCAATCTCCTTGTCTTACACCTCTGCTCACCAATAACAACTAACCCTCCTTTCTCCTCTCTCAATGTCTGTCATGTTATCACTTTATACGGTCTATGTTCTGAGGTGTCACAGGCATTGGTGGCACTGTGCTGGTATAACCTCTGATTCTGAATGGGCCTTCTCTCTTTCCGTACCTTCAACAGGGAGAAGACGGGCATTATCAACTTGTGTGCTCTATGGCAGACCATCACACCAAGATTCCCCATCGTCTCCCCCTGACTCATCTGAATTGACGTCCCCGTTAGTCAACGCCCCGGCCTCCAGGGGGAGCCCCAATCACATCTCGCCACCCAGGACTGCTGGTAGCTACTTGCAGGGTCGGAACACGGCCCAGTGGACAATGTAAAAAGCTCTTTGTATTATCAGCAGCTGTCGGTCTTCCAGCTCTTACTCTACTGTTTATAGCCTCGTAATTCACTCACAACAGGTGCAATGTGTTAGCTACTGTACTGTACTGTATCATCTACATTCAATGTTGCTATTTCCATCTCTACACCATTAATTGTTGGCATTGCTATCAAGCTTGGGACACAGTAACACATTTTCTGGGGCTCCCGTACTGTATGTCACCCTATATCATACTCATAGCTAGCCTCGTTAAACCAGATTGAACGCTGTGCATACTAGTTTTTTCCTGTGAAACGCAGCACAATCAGTTTGGATACCAGGCTAGCTTGTTCCTGCTCCTGTTCTAGATCTGTCCATTATAGTCCTTGTCCATTGTGTCCGCTGCCAGACGAAGTGTTAGGGAAAGGGGGTGTTTTGTGCTTTTTCTTTTCTTATCTCTATTTCTGACCCTGGATCTGGAGGAAACGAGGGATCTCCTCTCTCTTCCTGATTCAGTGGTTGTCAACACTGACCAGTGTCCAACAAACGTTACGCCTTGTACATATCCAGTTGAAGCCAGTCATCATCTCACATATTCTGTTCCCACATATAGTTCAATAGTGATGTGTGCTGTGACTTAGTAGCTTTTGATGATGATGAGAAATGAATATTTTATTTGATTTTATATATAGAGAGAAGATGGATACTCTTAGAGGTTTGTTGAGCATTAAACACAAGGTTCTGTTCGTGCAAGAGGTGGCCTGATTTATTTTGTTCTTATGCATTACAAGCACTGATTACGTTGTCGTTTGCTCTTGGGGAAATGTGCCGGGGTAACACAGAATGTTCTATTAATGCCGTTGCCAATGATTTAATTACTAGTATTTTTGGACGATTTCTCTGTTTTGCTAAGGGTAAGTGTTAACTTATCCTTAAATGGGAACCAATGGGTTAGAATCCATTTTTGGATCAATCTGGCATACATGACTCCACTGTAGCACTCGCACAGCAGGCCAAAATGTATATGTAAACAGTGTTGAAAGAGCTCAAAGCTCACTAATGGCATAACTAGATAACAATGACTGTTAATACAATATTAATAAGCTGCATATGGATGCGTAAAAGGATACTAGTATACTGTTACGATGAGTTTCTGGTATCGAGAAGTTCAGGATGCAAGAAAGTATTCGACCATTCAGATGGAGAGTTTTTTCAGTCATTATTTAATGGTTACAGTACTGGATTCATGTGACAGGCGGTACGGGCGTAGCCCCCTTGTCATCCGAATGAATTCCATAGAAAATCTCTCAGTTCTTCTGTCCATCATCTGCCAACCATCATTGAGTGTCACTCATCTCCTACAACAGTATCCCCATACATGGTATCGTGTGGCACCCTAACTAGGCCATTCCATCACGTACTCCTTCTAAGATTATCACAAGTGGCCCCCAATCTATCTTGGCACGCAGACCTTCTGTCACTCACCAGTGACCTCTATAACACATGGTGTGTCCTTGTCCTCTCTCCCACATGCAGCTCAGGAGTTTACAAACATTAATAATCTTGTATCAAAAGTTGTCATATCATATACATTATGTAAATAAATATCCTGCATGACTATTATGCTGTCAGCCATATGTGTAAATACACTACGGTATGTACATGCTCAGTATTACAAAAATGGTTTACACAGGCAAGTCGGATACAGGTTCGGTAACACTTGACTTCTCTGTCATAAGGGTGACACAACGCTGTCATAACATAACACATGTCATTTTCGGTCATGAAAACTGATGTCAAAATACTGACAACACTTTACACTGTCATGACACAATCGGTTATTTATGTAAATTAGTTGGCTTCCTGTATGCTAAGCCAATAAGCTGACTTAAGCAAAGATTTGTGCCATGAAAGTGTCAAGTCAGCTGTCAAGCTTATGTCAACTGTCATGACTGTTAATAACATATTTTATGTAATTGTTCTGACATGGTTAAGTCACTAGACCTAATGGCAGAGCGTTCAAGATGTGTTAACTAACATTGAGATATGCCAATATGTACATCCGGTTAGTAACACTTACTGTAATCAGTTCTCTTGAACGCCTCATGGGGGGTTATTTATTTCTAAACCTGGAAATAAAATGGAGAAGCGTTGTTCATGTTTATCTAATTTGTTTGTCACATACTGTGTTGTAAAGCAGATTTGTACTTTCTTTACTTTGTGGTATTCATTATTAGTATTGTGATCTTTGGCATAATAATTCTGATCAGAATTCTGCAATCTTTCTGCAAATTAGCACTGTTATTACTTAATGACAATAAGAGCTCTATGATGATGTTTGATCACTCTCTTTTATTTTACAAGTCTATCCCGCCTCAAGCAAAGCCATCTTTCTTTGGTTCCAAACAAAAAAGAAATAAAGTAAACAACAGAGAATGTGACCAGCTCAGTTTGTTATCTATATATTTTATCTGTACTCTCATACCCAAAACAGTAAGGAAAATACACCCTGAATACATTGAATATCTCCATGTATTAGTATTACTTTATTGATACAGTATGTAATAGTTATTCCTCCCACACCACCCCTCATTGTTTGCAGAATATACATCACACAAAGCTTTTTTTAAACCATTTCACTTGATAAAATTTGCAAATGTGATACCTTGATTATATACATTACATTTTGATTAACATAGTTGAACATGAGGAAGATAACAAAAACTCGTAGCTTCCTTAAGTGCCTTTACATAAAATACAACATCATTCGGTTATAATGTAGCTTTTTTTTGTTGCATAAAAGCCTGAGAAATTCATCCCAAAAAAGGTTTACATTAATTCATATAAAAATGCTTTCAGCGCTCACACTAAAACAAAACGTATAGTAATAGAAAATAATTTACATTGAAATAAAAGAGCAAAATCAAGCCTCTGAACGAAAGGCTAAAATAAAATAGAAGTTTATCACATGCAGAGGATCATTGGGGATTCGGGGAGATGATGTCATATTCGGGAGACACGTCTGCCTTGTCCAATGAGATGTAGGTACTATCCTCTTCTTTTCACCCTTTTTGCTATTTAAGTCACAAAAACATTGTTATCTGATATGATTTTAGAGCCAATTTGTGCAGTTCTGAAAATAGTAACATAAAGGAAGCATCTACTGTACAGTAAGTTGTAACATGTTTTTTAAGATTAAGATCACTTTATTGGTCAATTGCACACAAGGTCCAACTGAAATTTGACTTCCACTTTTAACCCAACCCCTCCGAAAGACACACATACATACACATGCATAAACATTCGGGAGAGGTGTGGGGGGGCTGCCAAACTGTGCGGCAGGTTGACGTTCATTGTCATGAATCTTGCCCTGGAAGCAGAACGGAGTGAATTCCGCTAGATGGGTCAGCTGCAAAGATTTTTGGGCTTAATTTTAAGGTTGGGGTTAGGCAAGGTTAGGGTTAATTCGGTTTAAAATCAGATGTTATGTCTTTTGGCTATGTCAGCTAGGGACCACTCTGCAGAGCTGCTTCCAGAACAAAATGAATGACGAAAGAAACTAACCTGCCACTGGAGCTGTTGTTGTGGGGGGTTGCTCAAGGGCACAATGGCAGTCAATGGCATCAAGGATTTGATATCAGCAACCCTCCGGTTGCCAGCTCACTTCCCACCAGACATTTCCCATCGGACCTGGAATTCGAACTGGCAACCATCCGGTTGCTGGCTCGTCTCTCTAACCGCTAGGCTACGGTCTTTGGTTTCAACCTTAAGTTTGCCAAACAGAGCTAAAAAGTTTTCTTGATTATAATTTACCTCTCTCAGACAGTCCTACTTTGCATAACGTATTGATAAAAAAAAGCTAAATATAACAATGATAAGAATGTTATGCCTCCTGACCCTATGCAAAATGTCCAGATGTGTTCAACTGTGGGGTTGTCATGTTGTCTTACCATTTACAAGGATTGGTCAGATAGACAAGGAGGGCCACATTAAGGCTGAGGGACAGACCAACGATTATCCAGAGAAAGACTGCAACATCCCTCTTCTCTGACCCAGGGATATCTATGGGAAGTGATACTAATTAATTGGTACGAAAACACTTTGTTTAATTTATCCAACACTATTCTACTTTAGCTCTACTCTTTACCCCACTAGCTAGGTTTCCATCCAATTGGCGACAGATTTTCATGCGGAATGAAATGTGCAGGTTTCCACCAAACGGACTTGTTGCAGATATAATCATTGCTTGATGGCGTAGTGCACACAAAATGTACTTTTTCACTTAAGTTGTCATGTACCTAATAACTCTAGCGATAGTTTTGTCACAAAAACTGTTGCATTAAATAGCAAAACATGCCTACTCTGGTCTTGGCACCTGCGCTCTAGCCAACACCTCGCAGATACCGTGCGGGTAAGCTGTGCTGGTAGGCTAGTCTACATGATGAGATTATTATGGATAAGAGTGAGAATGTTTTTATTTGTCAAGCATCGATCATGTCACCAAAATCAGACCCTCAATATTTATTTCAAAGTAGCATCAAAATAACCATGCACTTTCACCACCCTGTGAAGTTAATAATTTATTTAGTTTGAAGCCTAATAAACTGCATGGTTTCCCGAGTTATAGTGGAGGACCACACACCATATTATTGCTTGACTCCAAGTTTATACTTCGATATGATGGTGGTTTTTTAAATATTTGCAATAAAGGCATTTCCCCAACAAATGATCTGTCTGCATTTAAAAAAATGGTATCGAAACTTCCTGTTTCCATCACTTTACTAAAATAAAAATTGTGGATGGAAATGTGGTAACTGACATACACTGCATTACCAAAAGTAAGTGGACACCTGCTCGTCGAACATCTCATTCCATAATCATGGGCATTAATATGGAGTTGGTCCCCCCTTTGCTGCTATAACAGCCTCCACAACAGCCTCCACTTCTGGGAAGGCTTTCCACTAGATGTTGGAACATTGCTGCAGGCACTTGCTGTCATTCAGCCACAAGAGCATTTTGTGAGGTCGGGCACTGATGTTGGGCGATTAGGCCTGGTTCGCAGTCGGCGGTCCAATTCATCCCAAAGGTGTTCGATGGAGCTATGACTTACAATGGCTAGAATAACTCTACAAGGCTTTTAGGTACCAACTGTGTGAGTATCTCTAGTTTGGGGCATGCTGAAGAGAGACTTTGGAAGGAATTTGCAGGAGTATCCACCAGGTTGAGCCTCATGCCACCAGAAATGAAGCCATATCCAGAATCCCTTATAAAAATACTGATAACAGGTACTGTAAAGATAGTTTGCTCTACTGTCCCTGCTGCAGCATGAGGCCTGTTCAGGAGACTTGTACTTAACACCACTTTTTCTACAGCAGCAACACATATATTTCAAGGAACATGGTGTAGAGTTTAAATGTAAGTATTTAGGAGAAGTAAAACCCGACATACCAAATATAGCAAGGCCTTAGCACTTTAACACAGTTTCAAAGTGGGAAGAGGAACTAAACTACTGCCCACAGAGTGTTGTGAGCTTTAGTCAAACTCTGTGAAGATGCACTAACAGGTCTGGTTAAAATACAATACAAATGTGATGGGAAACTGAGTTGAATACTAAGAAGGCATAATGGCTTTTACAGTAATATTGTTTTTAGATAAATTACAGATAGTTCTCTGTATGTACAGTAGTGGTAAATTATGTTTATCTATGACTACATGCACTTCCATTACAACTAACTGCACAAAATGACACTGAAATTCATCTGACAGTTTACACATTACTGATACTTTATCAGGCATTGTTGCAACCAATTTCTTCCACTTCAGGCTGTGACCAGTTGCATTATTATCATTGCTTCTTGTTATCAAGTCAAAATAATGTAACAGTGAAAGAGGAATCATCACTCTTCAAAAGTGGGTCTGATATGTCTGAATAAGTGAAAGATTGTGGACGGAAAAAAATTGTCTGTCCTTGGTTGCAACACTAACTACCGAGTTCCAAACTGCCTCTGGAAGCAACGCCAGCACAAGAACTGTTCGTCGGGAGCTTCATTAAATGGGTTTCAATGGCCGAGCAGCCGCACACAAGCCTAAGATCACCACGCGCAATGCCAAGTGTCGGCTGGAGTGGTGTAAAGCTTGCCGCCATTGGACTCTGAAGCAGTGGAAACGCGTTCTCTGGAGTGAAGAATCACGCTTCACCATCTGGCAGTCCGATGGACAAATCTGGGTTTGGCGGATGCCAGGAGAACGCTACCTGCCCCAATGCATAATGCCAACTGTAAAGTTTGGTGGAGGATGAATAATGGTCTGGGGGTGTTTTTCATGTTTCGGGCTAGGCCCCTTAGTTCCAGTGAATGGGAATCTTAACCCTACAGCACACAATGGCATTCTAGACGATTCTGTGCTTCCAACTTTGTGGCAACAGTTTGGGGAAGGCCGTTTCCTTCTTCAGCATGACAATGCCCTCGTGCATAAAGCGAAGTCCGTACAGAAATGGTTTGTCGAGATCGCTGTGGAAGAACTTGACTGGCCAGTACAGAGCCCTGACCTCAACCCTATCGAACACCTTTGGGATGAATTGGAATGCCGACTGCGAGTCAGGCCTAATCGCCCAACATCAGTGCCTGACCTCACTAATGGACTTGTAGCTGAATGGAAGCAAGTCTCCGAAGCAAAGTTCCAACATCTAGTGGAAAGCCTTCCCAGAAGAGTGGAGGCTGTTATAGCAGCAAAGGGGGGACAAACTCCATATTAATGACCATGATTTTGAAATGAGATGTTCGAGAAGCAGGTGTCCACATACTTTTGGTCAATATTGAATACAACCCAATAGCTTCTAACGTTGATAATAAATGGAATACATAGTCAGTTGCATAACTGAATGCATTCAACCAAAATTTGTCTCCCGCATTTAACCATCCCTCGCACATTTTTCCACTTTGGCTGCTCAGGGATTCAAACCAGCGACTTTCCGGTTACTGGCCCAATGCTTTTTACCTCTAGGCTACCAGCCACTCATAATAAGTGCATTTAGCACACTTGTGACTTACTGTAGACTATGGCAGCAAATGTGTTTTTAACTCACATGGGCAGTACACCTTTTGCAGCAGATCTTACATATTGGGGAAATGACTTAATTTCTAAGACCACAGAGGGCTTCTAAACAATTGAGAATATTGCCAGTTTACCTCTATCCAATGCTAGGCATTCTCCATATTATACACATGTACATGTTACAAACAGCCAATCTTGAAATATGTACGCATTTTCTTATAGACATCTTATAGAAATCTTTCTTATAATAAAACTGCATCTAAATATAAAAGGCATGGGGATTGCGGTGTGTGTTGGGATTGCAGTGTGTGCTGGGATTGCAGTGTGTGTTGGGAATGCAGTGTGTGTTGGGATTGCAGTATTTGTTGGGATTGCAGTGTGTGTTGGGAATGCAGTGTGTAATGGGAATGCAGCGTGTGTTGGGATTGCAGTGTGTGTTGGGATTGCAGTCTGTGTTGGGAATGCAGTGTATGTTGGGATTGCAGTGTGTGTCTCAGTTGGTAGAGCATGGTGCTTGCAATGCCAGGGTTGTGGGTTTGATTCCCACGGGGGACCAGTACAGAAAACATTTATTGACTCACTACTGGAAGTCACTCTGGATAAGAGCATCTCCTAAATGACTAAAATGTAAATGTTAACCAAGGTGGTTTACTGGGTTGGTTGATTATGGTCTATATACAGTACAGTATGGCTGGACGGTAAACAGTACAGAGGGACTTCCTGGATTGTAGCACCAGGAAAGAGAGAGGAGTAAGAGACTGGGGACATGAAGTGACAGTTCACACCCATTAGAGTCTCACACAGGGCTCCTGATCAAGAGGAGGAGAAAGCACACTGAGAGAGAGGTAATGTGCTGATTAAGTCAAATTTTCTGCATGGATCGAAAGACAAGCTATTTAACCATTATATATTTTTGTCTCGTTACATTGAATGACTTAAAACTTGATTATGACTACGTAATGTAATGGTAATGTTCTATTAATCATTTAGGGCATTGCAACCCATTGCTTCATAAGGCTTTATATAGCCTAGGCATAATTATTTATGAATGTGGTTAAAGATATTTATGAGCAGATATTAACGCCTATGTCGGGCATTATAATACATTAAATGGAGTCACTCATAAGGAGTTATTTATACATGCGCTTGTATTGTGTTATGAAGAGGGCATTCATATAAACTGTTACCATAACTTTTTCTTTGACATACTCTCTAGGAATAATAGCAAAATACATCTTAGTTTAATAAATGTGCTAAGATGTTTGTTATGAATTACACTGTAGCACTCATAAAGTTGTAATGAAACATTAATATCAGATGTGTATTGCTATGTGTTGTTATTATCACAACACCATTTAATATTTTAGTTCACACTTATCTTGTGCTCCAGACCAGTAGACACAGACAGAGATATTGACCATACAGAAAGAGGAGAAAGAGGAGAGAGACCCCAGTGCTGTGGTTGATTCATCAAGGCAGTAGAGGCAGGATGTGGGTCCTCATCTGGGCAGCTCTACTTCTCTCTCTGACAGAGAGAACCACATGCAACAGTAAGGTCCCTTTTATCACTACTATTGGTAATGTAATAATCATTAGTAGATGTGGTAGTAGTAGTGGTATGGCAAATATCTCAATAGATACTATATCATACAAATGTTACGAACAAGTGAAGTAGTATCCAAGTGCTTTCTGCATTACTCATGGCTGTATTAATTTCCCTCCATCAGAACAGCCACAAACACCACCACCAACAACAGCATCACCCTGGACCATCACCTTCAGTCCAGCAGAGATAACAGCAGAGAAGGGACTATGTGCTGTTATTTCATGTACCTTCAGTCATGCAGAGAACTTCAATCGTACTGCAGCAATATGGTCTAAATGCTCTAAAAATGGCAAATGTGATCAGGATAAAAACATAATTATCCACTCTGAAACTCCCTCTAAAGCTCAGGAGGGTTATAAACAGAGAGTGTCTCTACTGGAGACTGATCTGACAAAGAAGAACTGTAGTGTAATCATCAACAACATCAGAAAGAATGACTCTGGAGAGTATCAGTTCAGACTGCTAAGTGCATATACATACTCCAAGAAAGTGAACATCACAGTGAGAGGTATTTCATGACTATTATTATCAGTTACAGTGACAGACTATTACTGTAGGTCATTGTACACAGTACACACTTGCCAAGTTCCCTCTCAAGTCTCCCTTATTATAAAGTCCTCTCATAAGAGGACAAGATGTCATTACTGGGAAGACTCCTATTCAGACTTAGCACATCAATGCTGCTCTCCTAAGGCTGATTATGTGTCACTGCTGTTTAGTACACATATGTAAAACTCACTTCTGTGTTTGTATTTCCTGTCTCCAGCTCTGACCCAGAAGCCCTCAGTGTTGACTCCTCCTCTGACAGAGGGAGAACCAGCTACTCTGACCTGCACTGCCCCGGGGTTCTGCTCTGGAACTCCTCCTAACATCACATGGACATGGAGAGGGACAGGAGACAACATCACTGAGCTCAGAGACAATACCACCATACAGAAGAGAGAGGACCTGACCAGCGTCACAACATCCCACTTCTCAACTTTGACCTTTACCCCCTCAGCTGAGCACCACAACATGAAGGTTACGTGTCAAGTAACCTTTCAGAAAAGACGTCAAATTGAAGAGACAGTAACTTTGAATGTGACATGTGAGTACCATGTCACCTACATTTTCCATTAAACACCTTATTCCAGAAAATCTTTGAAACCTAGGAATAACCTTGATAACAAGCAGATTATACAATATGCAGGCTATACGCAGTTATGTCATGGCTTTGACCTTTTCCCTTGCTTTTTAATCATGATCCATTGTAATTAGTCCCTCAACCAATGTAGTTTGAATTTAGTGTATGTGTAACAATACAAAATTAGAAACTCTCTGCACTAAAGATGTGAAAGACCCCCAAATAACTGGAAATAAAACAGTGAAGGAGGATGGTACCCTGGATCTGACCTGCAGTGTTGACAGTTACCCACCATCTGACATCACTTGGAGTAAGAACAGGACAAGTGCCCCACTTCAGAATTACACTGAAAATGCCACTCTCACCATCTCCAATGTGACAAGAGAACATGCTGGGGAGTATGTGTGTACAGCGCAACACCTCAACAGGACTATGACAGCTTCCACTGTTGTCACTGTGATGTGTAAGTACAAACAGTACAAACTTGATTGAAATATACAAACTCATTTCATATTTTAAGATCTGGAATTGTTTTTAGCATCAATCTATCACTGATATCTCTCTCTTCACTGTCTTTTCCAGACCATCCTGTGATTCTTCCTGGCTCTGGGTGTGTGGATCAGGCAGAGGTCATGACCTGTTTGTGTGTCAGTCAGGGGGTTCCCTTACCCCTCATAGAGTGGCCACTGCTGGAGCTCAACACAGAGAAGTACAGCCCCACTACATCATCTTTCGGGTCCTCAGTGAACAGCACCATCAGCCTGCCTGTTATAAACCACACCAACAACAACACTGTGGAGTGTGTCAGCAGAAATGTGGTGGGTGTAGTGAGAGAGAAGTTGCAGGTCACCCAAAATAAGAGCCAAGAAAAGCAAAGGGGTAAATATATAAGTCAAGTTACTTGGTTAGAGAGCAACAGCTTCCCAATCCCACTCATTGGAATATTGAGGAACGTTCTGTACATGTAGAGTCGGAAAATTTATATTTTTTCTTCCAGAGGATATTAAGTAATGTGTGCCACTTCCCATACAGAGTTATTGTTCTCTTTTTAGAGAAGGAGCGGGAAGGCATTATAGCATTATATAATTATTATAACATTAACATTATGTTATTATTTAATTTAAAAAGAAAATAAGAGGATACAAAGTATTTGGAGCCACTTCTAAAAGCATACATGTGTTGTTCTGTTTATAGAGGAAGTATCTAAAGACATCTTGGCTATGCTGTCGGACCTAAAACTGATTATTGCATTTGTGATTGGTGCAGCCTTCTCAGCCACCATCTGTTGTATCTTCCTGTGTTTGACAGGGAAATGTAAAAGGTACATGCATTCTGTTACTGAAGTACAGTTAGTGTTAACTGAGTGTTGTTTTTAAAATCAATTGCAGATTGTCTTTAGAAATTCATATTTACTATCAAGAGAATCAGATATATTGTCAAAAGTGCCAATGCCTTGCAACATATTGTAATGGACGTGCTTGCTAACCCCTCCAAAGTATAGTTACTGAGATATTTCATTTGTAATATTTTTCTTAGACAAAAAGAGAGGATCCCAAAGGACTCAGACTCCAAAAGCCCTTTCATGAACCTGGAGATGGTGGCATGTGAAGACCAACAGGTGCAGTACCAGTTTCTTTCTTTATTCAGCTTTACCAACATTCAGTTAGCATTGACATGCCAATACGAGTTGATAAGACAGCATGAACAGATCTGGGACCACCAAGCTAACAAAATACTTGTAACACAGTGCTTTCTATAATGTACTCTATAGACAGATGCAGGACAGGCTGTGGGGGGCGAACAGACCCCTCTGCAGTTGGAGCTGAGGGAGGGAGCTGAAAACGGAGGGCCCCTGACCAGTGGAGCCGCAGAAAACTCTGCCAAAGGGGAAGAACCAAAAGATGTGGACTACGCAACTATCAACTACTCCCAACTGAAGAAAAAGACTCCTGAGGAGGCAGAGAAGAAGACCACCACCATAGAGTCAGAGTACGCCGAAATCAAACGAGAGAAGAAGAAAGGGGGAGAAGAAGATGGAGGAGAGGAGGAGGAGGAGGAGGAGGAGGAGGAGGAAGAGGAGGAGGGGAAGGAGATGTTGGGGAAGAATGAGGAGAAAGAGAACGGTAAGCCAGCAGCAGAGACAGATGAGGATACAGCGCTTTACTCCAACGTCAAGGCTATTATGGGTGGTGAGTGACACAGCAATTTTGCGAGAAAAAGTGGGGGATAGCATACAGTATTATACAGCCATGGGTCCTTATATCATTTTCTGAATCCAGATTGAATGTTTCATGTTGATACTGGGACTTTTGTTCAACTGAAACTACGGTGGTTAATAGTTTTAGTGTTGTTTCGTCATGTGCTGAATCCAGTTTGAATGTTTTATGTTAATACAGAGACATTGTTTAATAACTGAAACTACTGTAGTTAGTAGTTTTAGAAATGCTTTATTTTACAGCCCTGTATCAGATGGTACTGTACGTGCCTGGTGGTTGTACAATTTCATTAAGAATAATTTCTAATTGTACATACTGTAGAAGCACATTTTGGTAATGTTTTTGTAAAGTGTAATTCTACTTTTGTAACGATTCGGTTTTGTCATTATGAGCAAGGACTGACAAAGATGTGGTTTGGAAAAGTAGAGAGGTCAAACCATTTCTTGTTTTTCTCCTCTTTCCTTTCATTTTTGCATTTCGAATTGACAAGTGGGTGGGAATATTAGGTAGTATGTGTGGTTGTAACCAGTACTTTTGTGTACATAGAATACTGATATACTGATATACTGTTTTGCAAAATGTGATAAGTAATTCTCATTTTGGGCTAGCCAGAGAGCTCAAATGAAATGAATCAAGAAAAAAAGTACATTATGCTTTTAAAAGTTTTGTGCTATAGACAGGTTGGTTGTTTAGCAACCAAATAGACGCGTGCACAACTTTGGGGTAAAATAGACGGGTTGGCTTAGATTGTTGACCACATGTAAACTATATATCATCTCCAATGTTTTTTGAAAATATAAATACATTTGCACAATGAGTACTTGTTGTCTCTCAAATACATTATTACAGTTGTTGGTTAGCTAGCTAGCAATTTTTTTGCCATATTAGCAAAAAACACCACAATAAAATACATAGTATCAAGAACAACATACAACTTGCTGAAACGAGCCAACTACGATTCCCCACATGGCAGCTTCGTGTCATTGTTGCTAGATATCTGGCCATCCAAAATCACCACAACAAACGGCCTTCTGCTCCATTGATGCGTGAGTATTGTTTTTATGACATTGTCAGCTAACCCATCTATGAGAATATTTTTCTATTTATATGTGTGCATTGTTGCAGTATTGTTTTATATTGAGGCACTACCTCACTTAATGGTTTTATGTATTTTCAGTTGTTTGTTCTCCAAAATCTGTTAAAAGAAGGTAGAACTTGTGATTTCTTTTTGCTATTTCCAACCTACCATCTCCACAAATTTCGTTTAACAGTAATTATAGGCTACCAATTGTATAAATCAGGGATGGGCAACCTTGATGGGGGTGGAGTCCACAAAAAATATGAACTCATCACAGGGTGCCGCAGTGGCTCACGGGTCTGGATACCCACATCCATACGCACACATGTAGTCAGAGCCGGCCCTATCCTTTGTTTCCCCCACCTTGTGAGCACAACATTTTAGGGCTCCCCTCTTGACAGCGGAAAGAAACATTTTTAGGTTTTAGAGTTAATTTCCTGCAATTCTACACATTTTGCCATGTGGCGTAGAGAAAATGTTGCAGTTTTAAAGCAATTTTGCTGCAAATCTACACATTTTGCCATGGGGCGGAGTGAGAAATGTGCAGTTTTATAGCTAGTTTCCTGTAATTCTACACATTTTGCCATAAGGTGGAGAAAAATGTTTGCAGTTTTTAAGATGATATCTGAGTAAGAGTGACTTACAAAATCAATGGGGACCCCTCGGTCGGTAATTCGACCATGATTACTACAAGTTTAGATTGCTGGCCGGTAGACTAACTTACCAATTGCAAAATTGTTTTGCTGACATGGGCTAATTGAGTGACTGTCAGTGACTGGCATAACAAGAGAAAAACTGCTATTCTACTATTCTAACTCTCAACAGCAAGTTGAGACCCCGACTGAGTTCCCCTCCCCCCAAAAATATTATTATTATATATTTTTTGGTCTTTGGAAATTGATATGTGTGCCTACAAAAGGAGGGCCGCCACCAATTGCCAATCCCTGGTATAAATGTTAATCAGAATATTTGTTTCTTCTCCTAAATGAAAAAATGCTTTTAGGTTTTTTCATCCAGGTCAAAGGTAAGGCATAGGTAGTAGCATATATTAGTACTGTAGACCAGACAGTTAGTTGGAGCTAAGATTGTGTGTTTGTTTACCTAAGACTTAGAATACTTTTAGTTTTGCCAATTAAACATATTTATATTCATACAATGAACCTCGTACATTTTGATACAATGTTTTATTAGCAGGCTGAGATGTTACTACTTATCCCCAAATGAAGCCGTTAGGGATAATGTTTCCCGGGCCTCAAGGGCTGCAGTGCAATGACACGACTGAGTGCATGTCAGTGTTTGTTATTTCTTTTCTTTCAGAGACAGATAAATATGTCTGTATTCTGGTGTTTGGACATTAATTGAATTGCCAATCAATGATGCGTTGAATTAAATCAATTAAGTGGCTAGGAACATTTAATGAAATCATCCAGGATTTAAGCAGCTTTGTGGTGTTTGCTGTATGCCCTATGCTAATAACCAACCTCCCCTCTCCTAGAGCCATGGCAGCAGATGTTGTATCTCACAGCCTGAACCTCCTGGAGACACTCAAAGAGTCCATTGAGAACAACAAGCTGTCGGATGTCAACGATGCTGTGGGAGAACTCCTGATCAGCCAGATTAACAGCATTCTTTCCCCTGCTAGCCTTCGAGAAGGACACGGAGAAGAGCCTGGAAGAGAGGCGTAAGGCCAACCTGGAGGTGCTGAAGGCCCAGGGGGTGGCTAAGCCTAAAGTTGTCCTAGTGAGGCCCTCCTGTCTGGAGAAACTGGACTTCCCAGGCCTCCTGGAGGAGATGGAGATGGACCTCCCAGAGATCCGGGCCCATGCCCTCCTCCTGGCCCTGCCTCTTGGTAGAAACAATTGGTAGTTTCTTGTTTGTTAAAATGAATCTCCATGACAACTTAGGTAAAATTGTATATAATTACTCTGCTACCATGTGGTTTCTAAATAAATTCCAGACAATTAGGGTAAAATAAAACATTACTAGAACTTTGACATCTTCTCTCCATGCATTAAATTACAGTTGAAAAAATGTGCTAAGAAGGTTGTAACAATCATAAAAACGTTCATGTCGGATGTTATGAATGCCTATGTATTCCCCTTACACAGCTGGCAATTGTATGTGTAGATATTATCATAACACTATTTATCATGCTATTCTATACTCTCTCTGTGCTCCAGACCTGTGGACACAGACAAGGGGACCAGAGAGAGAGGTGAAAGAGGACAGACCCTGGTGTTGTGGTTGATTCATCGAGGCAGTGGAGGCAGGATGTGGGTCCTCATCTGGGCAGCTCGACTATTCTCTCTGACAGAGAGTAACATGTCAAAGTAGGGTCCCTTTTATCATTAAAGTATTTTTAATATTGAAATCATCATTAGTAGTTGTATAGATGTGGTAACACATTGTAATCTCAACTGATTTTGTATTATCAAAAATGTTACGGACAAGTGAAGTGCTTTCTGAATTACTCATGACTGTTTTAGGCTGGGTTTCTGTACAGCACTTCGAGATATTAGCTGATGTATGAAGGGCTATATAAAATAAAATTGATTGATTGATTGATATTAATTTCTCTCCATCAGGACAGGCACCTCCAGCAGCAGCTCCAGCAGCTGCAAACACATAGAGCATCACCTTTAGCCCAGAGAAAATAACAGCACAGACTGGACTATGTGCTGTTATTTCATGTACTTTCACTCACCCTGATAACTAAAGCTTAGAACAGCAATATGGTTCAAATTCCCTACAAATGGCAAATGTGATAAGGGTAAAGGCAGAGGGCTGTCGAGCTGTCTGGGTTTGGTTGGGCGCCCTCTAGTGAACATTTGTAAAAAATAATAGTGTAATTTAACCATTGCAGTTATATGTCACCATATATATTCAATATATATAACATAGCATGGGGCTCCATTGGTCCAGAACAGAATGGTAAAGTTTGAAGTAATTGATGTCAGATGTCTGTTGCAGAGGTCTCTGGTTCAGGGTTAAATAGACACCATGTGGTGTTTGGAGCTGCTTCTGCCGCTGTTGCTAATCATTAGAGGTAAAACTCTTATGTTTCTCATTCCCTCTTGTCAGTGTGAATAACTAATCAATTACACCACAATAACTCAGACTGTGGAAATTCCCTTGAAGACTACAGATATACTAGACATGCAGTAATCTAGATATACAATTGCAATGTAAAACTGATTTGGTGGTTTTACTGTATTGACCCAGTTTAATTTTAGAGTGTGTCAAATTTACAGCAAACAAAAGGGTACAGAGTAGACACAGGGTCCAACTGGCACACATGGCAGCAGGGAATCAGCCTACTGTTCCAGTGCTGTTGGATGGCTGGCGTCCATCTTGACTCAACCTTGTCCCTCTCACTCAAACAGCGTGCCAGTGGTGAGAGTGAGACATATGCTTCCTCCACATAGGGTCTCTGCTCTTACCATCTCACCCAGGGAGAACCTCATGATTTCATCCTCTGTTCTCTCTCTCTCTTTGTCTCTCTGTTCATCTTTTCTCAGTGATTCAATTTGAAACTGTATATGTATTGTAGATTGATTGTTCATTGGTCTACAGTTTCACGCTTAATATTCCCATTTCCACTCTTCCCTCCATCTCACTCCTTCCCTCTCTCAGATGTCAGTGGCCATTGGAACATGTGGGTACCCAGGTACATCTCGGCCATGACCAACTCCTGCGTGGTCATCACCTGCACATTCATGTACCCGTCCGGTATACAGCCGTACCGCGGCATCCACGGCATCTGGTACTTTGGCCAGCCCTACCCTCAGCTCTTCCCACCTGTGGTGTTCAAGACGCGCACAGACATCGTGCATAAAAGTTACCAAGCTCATTGAGGACCTGCACCAGAGGAACTGCACCCTGCTCATCAGTAATATAGGTACAGAGCACTCAGGGAGGTACTACTTCCGTGCCGACCTGGGCGGTGCCAACATCTACACCTACCCAGACTTCTCTAACCTCAAGGTGCTGGGTAAGCCTGTTGAGAGACACTGAGAGGCAATTCTTTTTAAACTATGTTTACAATTGTTTACAATCGTAGGTGTTACATTTATGGTCTGGATTTCCCTAGCCTGGTACCATATCTGTTGGGCTGTCTTGCCAACTACTGTGGACACTGTTTGGCATGACATGGCCTGACAATGGCAATAGGAGTTGGCAAGCACAAATAGATCTGGCACCAGGCTAGGATTGACCTAGCTGTGAATATAATTAGTATAGCTTTAATGAGAATAGGTAAATATTGTGAATTGGTGAATTTTAACTCATTCACGATGTCCTCTCTGTCCCCCAGACCAGCCCAGCATTGACATCCCTGAGGAGATAGTCGCAGACGAGAATCTGGAGTTGACGTGCTACAGTATGCTCCAGACAACTGTCCAGAGAATAGCCCAGAGTTCCAATGGATGTACACAGACTACCTGCCTGAACCCGAGTATTCCTCAGACTACTTGGAAGAGAGCTTTACAGCACGCTCACCCCCAGGCCCATGCACAACGGCCAGCTGCTGGTCTACTACCCCAACACCACCCTGGTCTACGAGAGACTAATCTGCTGGTAGAGCACGGCGCTTGTAACGCCAAGGTAGTGGGTTCGATCCCCGGGACCACCCATACACAAAAATGTATGCACGCACGACTGTAAGTCGCATTGGATAAAAGCGTCTGCTAAATGGCATATTATTATTATTATTATCTCTGGACGTCAAGTGTAAGTGACCAACTGACCGTTGTCACCGAACCTGTAGGTTGAATCCTCAAATTCTGTGAGAAGCGTGTCATTTGGACACAACAGTGGACACATTATGTAATGTGGGGGATTATAGTATAGAATAACTCATTCTGCTGACTACGCCAAATGTAATCGTAGCAGTGTTACACACATTTACATTACACTTACTTATCCAGAGCGACTTACAAATTGGTGCATTCACCTTGTGATAGCCAGTGGGACAACCACTTTACAATATATATTTCTGACGCACACATTGTAGAACCATTGTCAAAATCTACAGTCATCCATTATTCTCCATCTACAGTAGAAGGATAGCAGCTTGATTTAGCAATATATTGCATGATTATGACATGGTACTAATATTGTATGTTAGCCTGGCATTCAAACCAGTTTTTCGACATTTCACCTTTGTTTTTCTTTGAAACAATGATGAGTGCAGTGTTGGGTCTGGTTTAACCAGGTTATACACTTGTCACTTTTACAAGTCTAACCCCACCTTCCCCTTCCCCTTCCTCTCACCCCAGATGCCCCTCGCTCGGTGTGGGTGAACGTGTCTTCGGAGGTGATGGAGGGCAGCTCGGTGACGCTGCACTGCGAGGTGGACAGTTTATTTGTCAGATGCACAGGATACAAACAGTGTAAATGGTACAGTGAAATGGTTACTTGCACAGTGTAACCATTTGTTTAGACAATTAACCATAATCCCAACTCACAATGTTAGTGCCCTGCACGAATCTACAGGTAGCTAAATGCTGACCAACAAGGTTAAATGTTAGCTAGCTACTTAAAAGTAGGCTATAACTACTATTAATAATATTACTACACAGATCATACACGTAACGTTAGCTAGCGAGCCAGCCAGCCAGACAGCTAATGTTAGCTAGCTAGCTAACAGTACGCTTTAACTTGCAATGAAAACGACTTTCTGTCAAAATTAAAAATTTATAATATCTGAAAATGTAGCTAGATATACTCTCTTACCCATATACAGTACATGGATGAAAGCTTCTCCCTCTCTGTCATGGATGCCATGGTTGCCCTTAGTTTTGAAGCTGTGACCTGGAGACAGGTGTTTTATGCAACGGACTTCTGTGTTCTCTTTTCGAATCCCTCCGCATTTGCAATCAAATGCCAGAATTTTCTCCATCTCCTTAGCGATCATACTCTGCTTCCACTGGGCATTCCAATGATTTCAAAACTCTGTCCTCCAGAAAGTGGAGAGCTATCTTTTAAACAAATCTGCGTTAGAAAGGATTACCTAAACATACTGAGCAGCTCATTATACACAGAGGCATGCTACATGGCAGACCAATCCGAACTCATCTCTCCGCATGCCCATCCATTATCTCAGCCAATCATGGCTAGTGGGAAGGTTCCTGTCTTTTTCCGTGGCTAAACCAACTAGGCTAGTATTTTTATCAATTGTATTCATATTTACAGAAGGCCTACACGTTTGTTTTTATGGCACATGAAAGTTCACATGTTCCAGAAGGCAATTCTGCCAAAAAACAGATTGTTTAAAATAAAATGTTTTACGCTCAAATGCCTCTCCTGTGAAGTAGTGACGCGTGACAAATGCCTAGTTTCCTGAAACGAGACACATATTTATTATATGTCAGTATATTGACGTATTAGTTATGTGATAAACCTGGCCCATAACTTCTTTCTCTTGTTTATACACAGTACGATTTATCCTCTTTAACGTACTCCATTGTTCAACTCCTTTCTTTCTCCTCACATCACTCTACCTTTCATCCCTTCTCTGTCCTCCCTGCAGACCCTCCCAGTGAGCCAGTGGTAAACGGCTCCTTTAACATTTTGGAAGGTTCCTCCATCTCCCTGCAATGTAGCACCCAAGGCAATCCCGCGCCCACCCTCACCTGGCTGAAGGACGGGGAGCTGGTGGGCACCATCACGGCTGAGGAGGTGTCTGTGCTGGAGCTTCTGGAGCTTACCCCTCAGGGAGACGGACAGTACCGCTGCCTGGCAGAGAACGAACACGGACGAGCCAGCAGCTCCCTCAACATCACTGTGGAATGTGAGTGGGTCATCAAATCATGTAATGTTGTATCATATCGTATCATATCATATGGTATAGTATCATATTGTATTGTACCACACTACGCTACACAACACTACACCATCCCATCCCACTCTACATATCAGTCACACCTCTACCTCCACCCTCTCTTCAGATGCCCTTGTCCTTCTGGAAGAGTCCAAGTGCACGGTAGTAAGTGAGGGTGTCCAGTGTGTTTGCATGGCTACAGGCAACCCTGAGCCCACCATCGAGTTCTACCTCCCCGACAAGAACATCACCATCAACGACACGGAAGGCCACTACATCTACTACACGCACACGGACAGCCACACGTCCACGGGCATGATCAAGCTACGGGAGAAGGGTGAGCGCCTGGGCAACAGCGCCGCCAATGTGCACTGCAGCAACAGCAACATGTACGGGTCGGAGAGCTTTCATCTGGAGTTGCAGCAGGAGAGTAAGTACACAAGTTCAGGTTCATGGTTAAACACAGAAACAAATAGCATACCATTAAAATGCAAAACATTGTATAGCCGAGCATACGTGAGAGATTGAACTGAAATTAGAAGTGTAGTACCTTTCTTTGATATCTAGATTGACTGTATAAGTAAGACCACAAACTGGACACCCCATTGGCTTGATATGGTAATTGTCACACCCTGGTTCTGGGACTCATTATGTTGAGCCAGGGTGTGTGCAGTCTATGTGTTTATGTTCTATGTTGGGTGTCTAGGTTGTTGTTTTCTATGTTTGGTCTATGACTCCCAATCGGAGGTAACGAGTGTCAGCTGTCGGCTCGTTATCTCTGATTGGGAGCCATATTTATACTGTGTGTTTTCACCTTGGGGTTGTGGGTTTTTGTTCCTTTACGGTCATTGTAATCGTGGACTTCACTATCGTCATTTGTTGTTTTTCAAGGTTGCTTTATTGAATAAAGTCATCATGTTCGCTCAACACGCTGCGTATTGGTCTCCTTCGCTCCTAGACGATCGTGACAGAAAAACCCACCATACTAAGACCAAGCAGCGTGTCCAGGAACAGACACAGGAGGTGACTCTGGTGGATGTCCTCCTCGGTTGGGGGCAGATTACCGAGGAGGAGGCCGTCCGGTACCGGAGGGCTATGAAGGGGGAGACCCAGGCAGAAGAGGAGCAGCGGCGTCAGCAGTGGCATCGTCGGACGGACGAGAGGCACCCCCAAGAATTTTTTAGGGGGGGGCACAGGGCATGGACGACGGGGCTAACGGAGGCAGAGAAGGGGCGAATTCAAGAGGCCACCAGGTTACGGGGGCTACTGGTCAAAGGAGGGAAAGGAGATGTAGAGGCACGGCGTGAGAGACTGAGGTGTGTATCCAGTCCGGTCCGGCCCGTTCCAGTTCCCGGGGTAGAGCCAGTGGTGTGTGTCCCCAGTACGGTCCGGCCTGGTACGGCCCCTCGCACCAAAGGGACGGTGCGCGTCTCCAGCCCGGTCCGACCTGTTCCTGCCTCTCGCACAAGGCCTACGGTGTGCTTCGCCAGCCCAGCCCGGCCTGTTCCTGCTCCCCGCACTAGCCCTGAGATGCGTGTCCTCAGCCCGGGACCACCAGTTCCGGCACCACGCACTAGGCCTTATGTGCGTCCCCAGGGTCCTGCATGCCCTGTTCCTTCTCCCCGCACTAGACCTGAGATGCGTGTCCTCAGCCCGGTACCTCCAGTTCCGGCACCACGCACTAGGCCTTATGTGCGTCTCGGCCGGCCAGAGTCTGCCGTCTGCCTAACGGCGCCTGAACTGCCCGTCTGCCCAACGCCGTCTGAACTGTCCGTCGGCCAAGCGCTGCATGAACTGCCCGTCTGTACTGAGCCTGCTACGCCGCCCGTCTGCCATGAGCCTTCAGAGCCGTCCGCCAGACCGGAGCCGCTAAAGCCTTCCGCCAGACAGGAGCCGCTAGAGCCTTCCGCCAGACAGGATCAGCCAGAGCCTTCCGCCAGACAGGATCAGCCAGAGCCTTCCGCCAGACAGGATCAGCCAGAGCCTTCCGCCAGACAGGATCAGCCAGAGCCTTCCGCCAGACAGGATCAGCCAGAGCCTTCCGCCAGCCATGAGCAGCCAGATCCGTCAGCCAGCCATGAGCAGCCAGATCCGTCAGCCAGCCATGAGCAGCCAGATCCTTCAGCCAGCCATGAGCAGCCAGATCCGTCAGCCAGCCATGAGCAGCCAGATCCGTCAGCCAGCCATGAGCAGCCAGATCCGTCAGCCAGCCATGAGCCGTCCAGCCAGGATCCGCCAGAGCCGTCCAGCCAGGATCCGCCAGAGCCGTCCAGCCAGGATTCGCCAGAGCCGTCCAGCCAGGATTCGCTAGAGCCGTCCAGCCAGGATCCGCCAGCCAGCCAGGATCCGCCAGAGCCAGCCAGCCAGGATCCGCCATTCAGTCCGGTGCTGCCCCTTAGTCCGGTGCTGCCCCTTAGTCCGGTGCTGCCCCTTATCCTGGTGCTGCTCCTTATCCTGGTGCTGCTCCTTATCCTGGTGCTGCCCCTTAGTCCGGTGCTGGCCCTTAATCTAGTGGGGTTAAGGTGGAGGGTGGTCATTTGGAGGAGGCTACGTAAGCGGGTAGTGACTATGGTGGGGTGGTGGTCTAGGCCGGAGCCAGAACCGCCACCGAGGAGGTATGCCCGCCCAGCCCTCCCCTGTTTGGGGGTTTTGAGGCGCGGTCGCAGTCCGCGCCTTTAGGGGGGGGTACTGTCACACCCTGGTTCTGGGACTCATTATGTTGAGCCAGGGTGTGTGCAGTCTATGTGTTTATGTTATATGTTGGGTGTCTAGGTTGTTGTTTTCTATGTTTGGTCTATGACTCCCAATCGGAGGTAACGAGTGTCAGCTGTCGGCTCGTTATCTCTGATTGGGAGCCATATTTATACTGTGTGTTTTCACCTTGGGGTTGTGGGTTTTTGTTCCTTTACGGTCATTGTAATCGTGGACTTCACTATCGTCATTTGTTGTTTTTCGTGGTTGCTTTATTGAATAAAGTCATCATGTTCGCTCAACACGCTGCGTATTGGTCTCCTTCGCTCCTAGACGATCGTGACAGTAATGGCATTATCTTGAATGTAAATAAGTTATATTTTAGTACCATGACCTAGCGAAACAGTATTTTCTGTTTCTTCACTATCTTCAATATGATGTTCTTGTCCGATGTTAGAGAAGTACATGATGGCAGTGATTGTTGGCACAATCGGTGGAGTGGCTGTCATCGCCTTCATCATCGCAGCAGTGAGATATGTGGGCCATAACAACAAGAAGTGATTATCCACCCTTCACTAACTGTGACAAGGGTCGATGTGAGTTACAGGTAGTCATTTCCTGTTTGAATTGACGATAAGGAAACACTTCAGCCTAGCTATCCATTCTAAAACACCTCTGTGTATTCATGAGTGAATGATTGATCCATGGACGGATGTGAGAATCATGGTCATAAGTTCTGCTAACGCCAGAGCGAGTTCAATTAATTTTCTATCACTAGTCCCCTTTCTGAAATCCTCTTAGATGGAGATCCAAAATGGCTGCCTGGTGGAGTGGGGTTAGCAAGCCGGACTAACCGTAGCCTATAGTTTGCAGGCTCTATTCCCTGCTTTGATACTGCTTTGGACCCTTGACTTGCTTAGCTAAAAATACAGCCACGGTAGCCTACTTAACTAAGGTGCTTCAGCATTATAGCAATACATCACATTCCGACAAAAGCTTTTACAGATAGTCGCTCCAAGAGACGGTGTCAGCTCAACCACAACTAAACCCATGAAACGATAACCACAACCATGAACGTCAACCAAAACCATGAACTATACGGCTGTAGATTGTTAACTATGTTGGGAAACAGGCCCTTGTTTTAAAATGGATGCCCAGGCGTGGAGTGTCGCCCTGAGTTAGTTAGTTAGTGGCATGAGACCGAGTCTGATCTTGTGACTCCACCCCCCAGAGAGAATGGCAACCCTGGGCATGACCTAGTGTCTAAACTGGAGAACCCAGCGTTGTACTACAGCACAGTCAAGAAGGACAAACAATGTTTGAGGAAGAAAGTGGTGAGACATGTTGATGATGATGACTATAATGATGACAATGATCTCAGATCTGTCCCAGACACGAGAATGATATCTGACCCGTTGTTGATGCTGATACTATACTATACCCGTTCAATTAATGTCCCTTTTTTGATGTACAGTAAGGTTCAATCCGTGTAATACTCATAAATTATCAAAACCTATATGACATCTTATGTTAAAGAGAAAATGTAAACTTCCCCAGCCAACTACTGGCCTAGCCTGAGAGTCCCAGTACCACTATAGCTATCTATCACAGTACCACTGGAGTAGCTGTGACCATAGCATTTCCAAACCACTGTTTTCTGCTTCATCGCTTCTCTGCGTTCTTCTGTCTCTTTTTCTCTTGCACAGCTTAAGACAGAGCTTCTGGGCTCAAAGTTTACCTCCATTCTAGAGGAGAGTACGGTAAGGTACCTAAACAACCCCACCCCAATCCCAACTCCAGGTCTCAGTGGTAGACAGCATCCCTCACTCATCCCAGACAGCAAAATTATATGATCGCCCAAATTCGGCCCTAATCTACAATATTACGATTTACCATTTGGCCCAGTTTATGTAATTGTTCTGACATGGTTAAGTCACTAGACCTAATGGCAGAGCATTCAAGATGTGTTACCCAACATTGAGACATGCCAATATGGATATCCGGTTAGTAACACTTACTGTCATCGGTTCTCTTGAACGCCTCATGGGGGGTTATTTATTTCTAAACCTGGAAACAAAATGGAGAAGCGTTGTTCATGTCTTATCTAATTTGTTTGTCACATACTGTGTTGTAAAGCAGATTTGTACTTTCTTTATTTGGTGGTATTCCTTATTAGTTTTGTGATCTTTGACATAATGGTAGATGCTTTCAGAATAAAAAAGGAGGAAGAGGAGGCTGTTATTGTGAAAGAAGAAGAGGATGTTACAGTGAAAGACGAACCTTTTTGGGAGGAAGAGGAGGCTATCTCAATAAAAGAGAAGGTTGAAGACGTTCTGGGAGTGAAAGAGGAGGAGACAGAATATCTGATTAACACCAGTGAGTACTTGTCTAAAAAAAGTTCTGCACTCGAATAGGTTGTTCAGTACTGTATGGATTGTTAAAGGGGCAATCTGTGATTGGTGCATGCATTTTTTGACTTTTAAATGATTGATACTTTATACTCCATTTACATCGAAAATCATTTTGTGAAGTCAGCGGGTAAATATCTTTCCACACTGGGAGCTGTCTCCCAAGCTGGTCTCACTTGCTCAGAGGAAGAGATAATTGATAATTTTTCTGGATAGCCAGAAAATGTGACACGTGACTACCTATGCAAATGTTGGGGTCTGAAACCTGACAGTTCAAGTCAGGTCCGCTGAGAGAATGGAAACAGACAGCAGACAGATGGGGCTTTCTGGCGCTATGAGGCACGGGACCCTATGAAATTCACGGAGCGCTTTGTACACAAAATGTAACTGGGATCCAGAACTTCACATCTAAGAGTTTAAAAGCAGAGGAGAAGTCCACATAAGAGAGAGTTGTAGCCAATGATTCTTGATGAATATAACTTCTAAATGCCCAACAACTTTAGTTCAACGGTCATCAACCCCATTCAACCCCATCAGAACATGTTTAACTCTATGGAGTGGGATAGAGGAGTTAGTGAGCTGATTTTGGTCAATTCTGAATTCAACTCAGGATAACCGTTGAAGGTTGCTTACCTGTTAGCCTTGTACGTTTCTATGGCAACAAATCCTTCAGCTCCAAACCTGCTGACTCCACTTTATCCTGAATCAAGTGTCTGAGCTGTGAGTTGAGGACCAATCAAATCGTGGGCCTCTGTAGCTCAATTGGTAGAGCACGGCGCTTGTAACGCCCAGGGTAGTGGGTTCGATCCCCGGGACCACCCATACGTAAAAATTAATGCACACATGACTGTAAGTCGCTTTGGATAAAAGCGTCTGCTAAATGGCATATTATTATTATTATTATTATTATAATTCTGATCAGAATTCTGCAATCTTTCTGCAAATTAGCACTGTTATTACTTAATGACAATAAGAGCTCTATGATGATGTTTGATCACTCTCTTTTATTTTACAAGTCTATCCCGCCTCAAGCAAAGCCATCTTTCTTTGGTTCCAAACAAAATAAAAATTATGTAAACAACAGAGAATGTGACCAGCTCAGTTTATCTATATAGTTTGTTATCTGTACTCTCATACCCAAAACATTAAGGAAAATACACCCTGAATACATTCTATATCTCCATTTATTAGTATTACTTTATTGATACAGTATGTGACAGTTATTCCTCCCACACCACCCCTCATTGTTTGCAGTAGCTACATCCCACAAAGCTTTTTTAAAAACCATTTCACTTAACAATATTTGCAACTGTGGTGCCTTGATTATCTATATAACATTTTGATTAAAATAGTTGAACATGAGGAAGATATCAAAAACTTGTAGCTTCCTTAAGTGCTTTTACATAAAATACAACATTGTTCGGTTATAATGTAGCTTTTTTTTTTGCATAAAATCCTGAGAAATTCCTCCGGAAAAAGTTTGAATTCAATCACATAAAAATGCTTTCAGCGCTCACACACACACAAAAAAACTTTTAGTAATAGAAAATAATTTACATTGAAATAAAATAGCAAAATCAAGCCTCTGAACGAAAGGCTAAAATAAAATAGAAGTTTATCACAAGCAGAGGATCATTGGGGATTCGGAGAGATGATGTCATATTCGGGAGACACGTCTGCCTTGTCCAATGAGATGTAGGTACTATCTTCTTCTTTAGCTCTCTTCTTTTCACCCTTTTTGCTATTTAAGTCACAAAAACATTGTTATCTGAGATGATTTTAGAGCCAATTTGTGCAATTCTGAAAATAGTAACATAAAGGAAGCATCTACTGTTCAGTAAGTTGCAACCAATTTTTTAACATTAAGATCACTTTATTGGTCAATTGCACACAAGGTCCAACTGAAATTTGACTTCCGCTTTTAACCCAACCCCTCCGAAAGACACACATACATAAACATTTGTGAGAGGTGTGGGGGGGCTGCCACACTGTGCGGCAGGTTGATGTTTATTGTCATGAATCTTGCCCTGGAAGCAGAACGGAGCGAATTCCGCTAGATGGGTCAGCTGCAAAGATTTTTGGTCTTAATTTTAAGGTTGGGGTTAGGCAATAGGATTAGCTATGTGGTTAAGGATAGGGTTAATTCGGTTTATGTCAGCTAGTGACCACTCTGCAGAGCTGCTTCCAGAACAAAATTAATGACGAAAGAAACTAACCTGCCACTGGGTGCCGTGGGGGGTTGCTCAAGGGCACAACAGCAGACAATTGCATCAAGGATTTGATACCAGCAACCCTCCGGTTACCAGCTCACTTCCCACCAGACTTTTCCCATCGGACCTGGAATTCGAACTGGCAACCCTGCGGTTGCTGGCTCGTCTCTCTAACCGCTAGGCTACGTTCTTTGGTTTCAACTTTCAGTTTGCCAAACAGAGCTAAAAAGTTTTCCTTGATTATAATTTACCTCTCTCAGACAGTCCTGCCTTGCATAACGTATTGATAAAATAAAAAGCTAAATATAACAATAAGAATTGTATGTTTCCTAACCTTATGCCAAATGTCCCCTTGTGTGAAACTGTGGGGTTGTAATGTTGTCTTACCATTTACAAGGACTGGTCAGATAGACAAGGAGGGCCACGTTAAGGCTGAGGGACAGGCCAACGATTATCCTGAGAAAGACTGCAACATCCCTTTTCTCTGACCCAGGGATATCTATGGGAAGTGATACAAATGAATTGGTACGAAAACACTTTGTTTAACTTATCCAACACTATTCTACTTTAGTTCTACTCTTTACCCCACTAGCTAAGTTTCCATCCAATTGGCGACAGATTTTCATGCGGAATGAAATGTGCACGTTTCCACCAAACTGTCATACCCTGATCTGTTTCTTTGTGATTGTCTCCACCCCCCTGCAGGTGTCGCCCATCTTCCCCATTATCCCCAGTGTATTTATACCTGTGTTCTTTGTTTGTCTGTTGCCAGTTCCTTTTGTTTCGTCAAGCCTACCAGCGGTTTCCCCTTGCGCCTGTCTTGCTCAAGTTCCTGTTTTCTAGTTTTCTAGTTTTTTACCATTCTGCCTGCCCTGACCCTGACCCTGCCTGCCTGCCATTATGTACCTTTTGGACACTGATCTGGATTACTGACCTCTGCCTGCCCTTTAACTGTCTTTTCCCTGCCCCCTGTTTTCGTAATAAACTTTTGTTACTTCGCTGCTGTCTGCATCTGTGTCTTCTCCTGAAACGTGATACAGACCGACTTGTTGCAGATATAATCGGTGCTTGATGACATAGTGCACACAAAATGTACTTTTTCACTTAAGTTGTCATGTACCTAATAATTATACTAATAGTTTTGTCACAAACTGTTGCGTTAAATAGCAAATGTGCCTACTCTGATCTTAGCACATGCACTTTAGCTAACAGCTCGCAGATACCATGTGGTAGGCTGTGCTGGTAGGCTAGTCTACATGATGAGATTATTATGGATAAGAGCAAGAGTATTTTTATTTGTCAAACGGCAGCCAAGCATCGATCATGTCACCAGAATAAGACCCTTGATATTTATTGGAAAGTAGCATCAAGATAACCGTACACTTTCACCACCCTGTGAGGTTCATAATTTATTTAATTTGTAGCCTAATAAACTGTATGGTTTCCAGAATTGTAGTGGAGGACCACACACCATATCATTGCTTGACTCCCATGTTTAAACTTCGATATTATTTCAATATTTGCGCATGAAGGCGTTTCCACTGCCAGTTCTCGCATAATGAATGTTACAGACACAAAAATATCTCACCATATCGAACGAACAAATGATCTGCCTGCATTTATAAAATTGTATCGAAACTTCCTGTTTCCATCATAGATGTCATAATTTTTTTTATACGGTATGACTTTACTAGCATAAAAATTGTGGATGCAAATGTGGTAACTGACATACACTACATGACCAAAAGTAAGTGGACACCTGCTCGTCGAACGTCTCATTCCAAAATCATTGGCATTAATATGGAGTTGGTCCCCCCTTTGCTATAACAGCCTCCACAACAGCCTCCACTTCTGGGAAGGCTTTCCACTAGATGTTGGAACATTGCTGCTGGGATTGCTTCCAATCAGCCACAAGAGCATCAGTTAGGTCAGGCACTGATGTTGGGCGATTAGGCCTGGTTGGCAGTCGGCATTCCAATTCATCCCAAAGGTGTTCGATGGGGTTGAGGTCAGGGCTCTGTGCAGGCCAGTCAAGTTATTCCACAGCGATCTCAACAAATCATTTCGGTATGGAACTTTGTGCACAGGGGCATTGTCATGCTGAAACAGGAATGGGCCTTCCCCAAACTGTTGCCACAAAGTTGGAAGCACAGAATCGTCTAGAACAGTGGTCACCAAACTACGGCCCGCGGGCCGGATACGGCCCGTCAGCACATTTGGCCCGGCCCTCTGAACAATCCCAGAGACGCTATCGGATTTTTTTCCTATTTGGCCTCCAGAAAAAAAATCCTAGGCCCGGCCCTGTCAAAGAGAGAACGGAATAATGGCGAAAAGGTTAGGTAAGAGAAAAATTGATTCAGAATGCAGGGTATTTAACCCGCAGTGGACAAACGATTATTTTTTTGTTCAATGCAAAGAAAAGGCTGTTTGTCTCATCTGTCAAGAGACGGTGGCGGTATTCAAAGAATACAATCTTCGCCGACACTATGAATCCCGTCACAAAGACAAGTACGATAGCTTGCAAGGCCAAATACGAGCAGACAAACTCTCAAAGCTAAAAAGTGGACTACTATCTCAGCAGAATACATTTGTACGCCAAGCTCAGCTGAACCAGGCATCCGTTCGGGCCAGCTTTCGGGTTGCTAAACTGATAGCAAGCAGCGGTAAGCCTTTCACTGACGGAGAGTTTGTTAAGAAATGTATGGATGCTGTCGCGGAGGAGGTGTGTCCCGAGAAGAAAGATGCATTTAATGCCGTAAGTCTGTCGGCGAGTACAATCACCAGACGCGTTGAAGAAATCGGGAGTAATGTATATGCCCAGCTGCAGCAGAAGACGAAAGAATTTGACTTTTTTTCATTAGCACTGGATGAGAGCACGGACGTGCAAGACACAGCGCAACTGCTCATTTTTATTCGTGGAGTTAGCGCAAACTTTGAGATATGCGAGGAGCTGGCAGCCCTCCAAAGTCTCAAAGGGACTACAACGGGAGAGGATATTTTTGACAAAGTGTGCCAAACCATGGAGAAGTTGGACCTGGACTGGTCAAAGCTAGCTAGCATCACGACTGACGGGGCTCCTAGCATGGTGGGCGAAACTCGCGGTCTAATAGGACGCATGAACCGGGAGTTGGAAAAAAGGGGTCTCACCGCCCCGCTACGAGTCCACTGCCTAATTCACCAGCAAGCACTGTGCTGCAAAGTGTTGACGTGGGATTCTGTAATGAAGGTTGTGGTGTCGTGCATAAACTTCATCAGAGCAAAGGGACTTAAACACAGGCAGTTCCAAGAATTCCTGTCTGAACTGGAGTCTACGCACGGAGATGTGCTGTACTACACAGAGGTCCGATGGCTGAGCCGGGGAAGAGTTTTGAGGCGTTTTTACGAGCTGCTACCCGAAATTAACGCATTTCTTCATTTAAAAGACAAAACGGTCCCAGAGCTGATCGACCCAGAATGGAAATGGCACCTCGCATTTTTAACAGACGTGACAGAAATACTTAACAGCCTTAACTTGCAGCTACAAGGCGAGGGGAAACTCATTTGCGACATGTATTCACACATAAAAGCATTTGAGGTGAAATTAGCGCTGCTTTTGGAACAAGTGAAAAAGCGCAACTTCGTCCATCTTCCTGCTACCCAAAACCTGTCGACAGAGAACCCAGCGGTCCCGTTCCCAGCTGAAAAGTGCGTGGAAGCACTGGAAATGCTGAAGGCGGAGTTCGGTGTGCGATTCAGTGAACTACATGTTCATGCAAAAGAAATCCGTCTTTTTCAGAACCCCTTTGTTGCCGACATTGATGAAGCCCAGCCTTCATATCAGTTTGAGTTGGCTGAGTTACAGAACTGTGATGTTCTGAAAGACGCATTCAAGCCCAACAGTCTCATTGACTTCTATGCCGCCCTCCCAAACGACACATATCCAAACATCAAAAAACACGCAATGAAAATGTCCACAGTTTTTGGCAGCACGTATATCTGCGAGAAAACCTTTTCTCGCATGAAACTGCTGAAAACTCCGATGAGATCAAGATTGACATATGAACATTTGCATCAGTGCTTGAGACTGGCTGTAACTAGAATGGAACCTGATATTCAACTTCTCACCAGCCAGATGCAGGCCCACAGTTCACACTGATGAACATACATAGGTAAGCTCACTTTTCTGACTTGAATGAGTCATTCTGAGCATAAACAAATATAATCATAATAAAATCTACTGGGATAAAATCCATCTTTACAACCATACTGGTAGTGAAATGTATTGTGCTGTGTAGGTGCTGTATCACTTAGTTCAGTTTCTCAACCTGCTTCCTTTGTGGTTTTCACAGGGAAGTTGATGAGAGAGAGCTGCAAACAGCGGTGTCTACAAGCCTACTGGAACCTACAAAAGGATTATAAGGAAGGAACACAAGAACTTTAAGAGACTGCTCATATGTGTCAGAGAGATTCTGCTCTGACAACTGAGCTGAACTTTTATCTGTTAAGATTGTGCATGGCACAACAGAAAGTTAATGTTCCATGGCTTTTTTTTCTATGAAGAACCCAGAGAGAGTTATTTAGTTATTATTTATTTCATAAATAGTGTTATTTATTTCCTGTTTTTTCTGTGAAGAACTCAGAGAGGGTTATTTAGTTATTATTTATTTCATTAATAGTGTTATTATTTGTTTCCTGACTTTTTTTCTGTAAAGAACCTGGAAAGGGTTATTTGGTTATGTGTGGCTTTCTGGAAAACAATAAATTTTTTAAGCTCCCCTACGATCGTCACACTTTTTCTGTTACAAACTGACACCGGCCCCCCATCAGAGAAGGGAAAAGTTATGTGGCCCTCACAGGAAAAAGTTTGGGGACCCCTGGTCTAGAATGTCATTGTATGCTGTAGCGTTAAGGTTTCCCTTCACAGGAACTAAAGGGCCTAGCCCGAACCATGAAACAGTGTGCTTTATAAAGAGGTGATTATGAAACTACAGTTTATTCAACTCTACATAAACTGAGAATAAACAACATATAATAAGCAGTCGCCTCTTTAGAACACACATTGTTGAAGAAAAGTTTACAATTAAATCACACTGCCAGATTGTAATGAGATTAATGGTGAATTTTGCACTTGACACAACTTTTGTACTATGAAAATATCATCCTCTATGTCTGTGTGATTTGAGCTGAATTTGAGCAGAAATTAATTGGTGATTCTTCTTCACTCAAATTGTAAAATGTAACACTAGTCCTATACATACACAGCACGTCACAGTATATTGAAGTGCTTATGTGTCAGGCTCCCTTCAGCTTGGTGTAGTATGGGGACCTCCATCTCTATCTGGCCAACTACATTTCTGCTGACACACTCCACACTGCTGTTCTTGTATTCTGAGGCAGACATGGTGATGGTGCTGTTCACGGTTTGGGCACTCCTGGAGACACTGTAGCTAATATAGACCCCTAACATTGGCCAAGCAATCACTGGTAAGGGAACCCCCTGACTGACACATACACAGCTCAGGACCTCTACTTGGACCACACACACAGAGCCATTCAGGAACTTTGGACGGTCTAAGGAATACAAATAAGTACTTTTTACATTCAACATCATGAGATATGGCTTTTTTACGTAACAGAGACTCTTGAAGAATGAGCACTGTACTATATTTTGATAATGAGGGAATGCTCTGAAAGGTGAATGTTCTTAAATTTTACAGATAAAGTCACTTTTTCTCCACTGTAATGTTGACCTTCCTGTAGAAGCCCATTCTCTGCTGTTGATGGATTATCCTCGAATACATGCCTAGGTTCTCTGTCCCTCTCCAGTCTATGCCAACAAAATCTTCTTCTTATCTTTGCAGGTCATTTAGTTTGAGTGCATATACTTTGCAGGTCAGTGTGGCCCACTCTCCCTCTGTGAGAGAGGGTGTCTCCACAGTAGGCTTCTTCTGAGTTAGAGCTAAGCAGAATAGGTGAATTTTGAACACTTTGACAATTCATTTTTCAAACATTTTCATGCAGATTATACTTTGATGTGAAGAACATGATTAATATCGTTTGGTAGTTCTGCAACAGCGACAAAATATGCTGCAATTCAACATTATTAGAATTCAGAGTGTGTAGGCTACATTGATTCTGACTTGGACACATAAGGTGACATTTTCCTCAAGCAAAGACCTGTTTAAAAATACTGTAATACTCATTATAATCTGCTGCGTGATTTAAGACAGTGAAAGTAGTATATTTGGTGACATAGTTACTTACGTACCAGACACTGAGACTCGCACCCTCTCAGGAAAAACATACATTTGATCATCTCCCAATGTTATCTTGAATCTATACTCGCTTTCTCCTTCTTGCAGGTCTTCGAGTAAAAAGCTGCAAGACCTTTTAGGACCTCTCTGGAACTGCCAATCAACACTGCACAGCTCTGCATCTGTTTCAAATGCAGGTGTAAGTGGATCTCCTATGAAGCAGACTCTGCGTACGTAATCAGTAATGTTGCCTGGGTACGTGAATTTACACTGTCCAGCCTCTACTGTAACGTCCTGGGTCACTGAGATGGAGAACTCTGTACCTTTCTCTCGAGGCTCTATATATCTTTTTTTATAGTAACACATTTACATTTGACCAGCCAAAGCTTACAAAGACAATAATCTTAATCCAAAACATGTTACTTGACTCTTCTGTCAAGTCATACAGCATTATACTATACATATGCACTGACTACAGGTTGCTGTTATGAACCAGCAGATAGCCACGGTGCAGATCTCAACCATTATCTTCTGTTATAACAGGACTTAAGGAATCAATATTTATGAGACACAAATCTATGCTGTAATAGAGAATATACAATTTGTTTCCGTAAACAGCTAACCAAATGCACAAACGATTAATCACTTCATAATATGCTGCTAAATGACTCTTGATTATATTGTTATAAATCAACTTACCTCTCTCTACTGTGTACCAGCCCTCTGCCTGTCTCACTCAGGTCTCTCTGTTCGGTGGCGATCTTCTTCTCTGATACTTGTGAGCACATTTACAGATATATCAAAATATTGTCTGTCATTACTGGCTGCAGGGAATGTAAAAACATCTGTAGAGGCCAGAGTTAAGAGTCAGTATCTGTCTTTAGTTGCCCCATTTCACAGCCTACTTTTGTGGTGAGACAATGTAAACTGTAGCACAGTACAACACTGTGTTACTGTCAGCACAATTAGGCACAGTTGTAGATGTTTCTAAAGTCAGCATAAAGTAACATAAAATATTGCATTGACATTCAGGCCCTTGGTATAATTGTTTTTTTCAGTCTTTGCACCAATGCATGAAAGCAGTTCATATTTCAGATTAAAATAATTGTGCATATGGTTCACATTGGTCAGTTATTTTATCCCGGGATAACGCCTCAGTTTTTAATGCATCTCAACGTATTACAATAACAACAAAAAGCAAACCAAAAGTAATTGTTAGAGCATACACAACTTCAATATTTGATGCTGCTGGTTGATCTTCATTAATAGTTCACAAAAATATGGCTCAAGATATATGGTCCAACACATTTGACACCATGGTTGTGATACAGCTGTTTTTTTGTGATACAATAAAGAGTTTATTATACATCCAATGTGCAGGCTTCCACAATGCTTATGTACAGTGCCCCCTTTCTGATTTTTGCATATTTTTATCACTGAATGTTATCAGATCTTCAACCAAAACCTAATATTAGATAAAGGGAACCTGAGTTTACAAATAACCCAAAAAAAGTGATACTTATTGTATTTATTTAATTAACAAAGTTCTGCAACACCCAATTCCCCTGTGTGAAAAAGTAATGGCCCTCTTACACTCAATAACTGGTTGTGCCACCTTTAGCTGCAATGACTGCAACCAAATGCTTCCTGTAGTTCTTTTTCAGTCTCTTACATCGCTGTGGAGGAATGTTGGCACACTCTTGCGTGCAGAACTGCTTTAACTCAGCGACATTTGTGGGGTTTCAAGCATGAACTGCTCGTTTCCAGTCCTGCCACAACATCTCAATTGGGATTAGGTCTGGACTTTGACTAGGCCATTCCAAAATGACAAATGTGTTGCTTTTTAAACATTTTCATGTACACTTGATTTTGTCGACAAGGGTCCCATTATGCCTGGTGAAAACCAAATACTGCATTCCACAGTAAGAACCTTATACCAATGGTCAAGCACGGTGGTGGTAGTGTGATGGTTTGGGGATGCTTTGTTGCCTCAGGACCTGGACGACTTGCCTTAATAGAAGGACCCATGAATTCTGCTCTGTGTCAGAGAATTCTACAGGAGAATGTCAGGCCATCTGTCTGTGAGCTGAAGCTGAAACGCAGCTGGGTCATTGTGCAAGACAATGATCCAAAACACACAATCTAGTCTACATGAAAATGGCTAAAAAGCAACAAATTTGAAGTTTTGGAATGGCCTAGTCAAAGTCCAGACATAATCCCATTTGAGATGTTGTGGCAGGACTTGAAACGAGCAGTTCATGCTTGAAAACCCGCAAATGTTGATGAGTTAAAGCAGTTCTGCATGGAAGAGTGGGCCAAAATTCCTCCACAGCGACGTGAGAGACTGATCAACAACTACATGAAGCGTTTGGCTGGAGTCATTGCAGCTAAAGGTGGCACAACCAGTTATTTAGTGTAAGGGGGCAATTACTTTTTCACACAAGGGCATTGGGTGTTGCATAACTTTGTTTATGAAACAAATGAATTAAGTATGTAATTGTTTGTGTTATTTGTTCACTCAGGTTCCCTTTTCATCTAATATTAGGTTTTGGTTGAAGATCTGATAACATTCAGTATAAAAGATATGCAAAGATAGAGAAAATTTAGAAAGGGGGCAAACACTTTTTCACAGCACTGGGTTTATATTTGTGCCATTACAATGGTTGTGCCAAATGCATTGTGTATATATATATATATATATATATATATATATATATATATATATATATATATATATATCAGTTGAGTATGTTGTTTACCCACTTAGGTTTACCCTCAATTTCTGTTCAATTCCATTCAGTTTGACTATGACTTAAAATGGCTAGAATAACCCTACAAGGCTTTTCGTTTAGGTACCAACTGTGTGAGTAGCTGTGGTTTGGTGCATAATGATGAGGGACTTTGGAAGGCAATTGCAGGAGTAGCCACGAGGTTGTGTCTTAGGCCTCCAGAAATTCAGCCAAAAGGAAGGCATATCCAGAGACCCTTATAATAACGGGTATTGTAAAAATAGCTCACTATACTGTCCTTGCTGCAGCACAGGGCCTACTTTTGAGACATGAAACTAACACCACTTTTCAGCAGCAACACATATATTAAAGGGAACATGGGGTAGAGTTTAAATGTAAGTACAGATGTAGGATATTAATTTGATCATCACCCTGTTGCAGTAGGATTTTCCTGCAATGCAGGAAATGTAAAACTTGTAGTGTATTTGAGGTTTAAAAAAGCTTCTGAAGTTTGTAATTTCCACTTTCAAATTTCACACTTGATTTTCCCTTACGAAAAATGTGTTAACCCCTACATAAATATCCATTAATTATAATCCACATAATAATTCACATTTCTTGTTGCTGCAGGATTATTTTCCTGCTGTAGAAAGCTACCTAAAATTAAGATCTCAACAAACAAATATATAAAGGCCTTAGGGTGGGGGTACTTTAACACATTTTCGAGGTGTAAAGAGGAAGTTAACTGAGGCCCACAGAGTGCTGTGAGCTGTTGTCAAACTCTGCAAGTCTAACTAACAGATCTGGGTAAAATAACTAACACACGTCATGGGAAACTGCACTGAAGACCAAGAAGGCATGATGGCTATTACAGTAATATTGTTTTTAGAGGAATTGCAGTTAGATCTTAGTATGTGCAGTAGTTGTCAATTATGTTGATCTATGACTACATGCACATTTACTTTACAACTACACAACATGACACTGAAATTCATTTGACACAATTACTACACACTACTGATACTTTATCAGGCATTGTTGCAACCAATTTCTTCCTCTTCAGGCTGTGATCAGTAGCATTATTGTCATGACTTCTCTTTATCAAATCAGAGTAATGTAATAGTGAAAGAGTAATCATCACTCTTCAAAAGTGGGTCTGATATGTCTGAATAGTGAGTGAAAGATTGTGGATTGATGGAAAATATGTTACTGGTTTTGAATAAGGTACTAATTAAACATTAAATACATTCAATACAGTCCAGTAAGCTCTGACATTGATAATAGGTGTATTCAGGGCTGTAACTACATACAGTGCCTTCAGAAAGTATTAAGACCCTTTCTTTTTTTATTTCTTTTTTAAGTTACAGCCTTATTTTAAAATTGATTAAATAAATAAAAATCCTCAGCAATCTACACACAATACCCCATAATGACAAAATGAAAACAGGTTTTTAGAAATGTTTGCATATGGATTAAAAATTAAAAACAGAAATACCTTATTTACATAAGTATTCAGACACTTTGCTATGAGACTCTAAATTGAGCTCAGGTGCATCCTGTTTCCATTGATCATCCTTGAGATGTTT